GGTAATTGTGCAGTTGCAGATTGGGCATGCAAAACAAAACTCGCCTGGCTGTTTTTTTTTTGGATTTTTTTTTTGATTTGCCTGCCTCAGTTTTGGCATTCATTTATACGATTTGATCGGATTGCGGGATATACGCATTTGACCATTTACCAAACTCAATTCGAGCCGTTTGTTGTTGCCGTTAATTGAATTTGGCGCGTTAACGAGGAGCTAAGTAAACCAACAAGTTGACAGCGGCAACAGCAGTCAGCAGCCAGCAGCCAGCAGTCAGCAATCGCCTTTATGGCTAACCGAGTGTTAATTGATCGCCGGCTCGCAGACAAGCTGAAATTTTAATTTGAACGCGTTCTCCTTGTCGCAGCAGCCACAACACAGTTGACAGATAGCAGATGGCCGTTAGTTGGTTGGTAGTTGGTTAGTTGGTCGTGGAGAGGCTCTGCACCTTAACCATTAACCAAATAAGTAAAAGGCACTTACTTTGTAGCTAACTGATTGCATCAAAGCCAGCACCGTAGATATAAGGCTACGGTAAAATAAACTTAATAAACACCTTAACTACAATTGGAGAATACAATTTATATACTCTGATATCGTACGTAGAGGAGTGTATTGGTTGTGCAATGGATAATCTTAAACTAAGCATTTCAACATCAATTTAAGAACTGCACTCTCAAATTGGAAAGAGCACCTGCCTTATGTGAAAAATTAGTTTGAAATCAACCCACAGATAGAAAGGTAGTCAAATATCGGAGTCCCCATACAATTTCTTCAGTTTTATAGATTTATTTCGCATTTCAGTTGATTGCTACGAATAGGTTCGTCGACAGTAATAAATTATATATATATACACACCTTTCGAGATTTGTGTTTTGCCATTGTTTTGTTTGAATTCCAGAACTCGTTTTTCAAATGAATCATATTATTTGTATGCAACGAAATATGTTATATGTGTACACATATTTATGCATATATATATATATATACATATATATATATATATATATTTATATATGTATATATGTTTATTTAATTGTAAGTTTTGGTATTATTCGTAATTCGATAGCTTATGCAAGAAACAGTTAAAATCGCTTATGGCATTTGTTATTGTTATAAACATTAATTTATTTATATTTCACATATGATTTATATGTACTATTTATAATAATGTTGTGCTTTAGTTGGTTTTCTTTTCTTTTGTTTTGTTTCTTTTTTTTACAGTGTACCAAGTTTATGTTTCTATTATGTAGATTATCATATGAGATATTTTTATTTGTTTTATTATATATTTTTTGGTTTTTTTTTTTAATTTTTTGTTTGTTTTTTGTTTTTTTTTTTTGTCTTAATTACCACAACAAGCGTTTCCAGTTTTCTTATTTGATGTACTAACAATAACTATTTATATATATTTATATATATATATATATACGTATAAAACAATCGCGTTCTGGGCTTCGATTAGCAATAAAAAACATATAAATAATTATTAAATGTGAAGAACTTGACGAGAAATTGTATCGAATTCGAAGCTGAGAACGTGACTGCATTTATTCAAAATGGATTACCAATCTGTAAATAGTAGAAGATTTATACAGAGACTATATGCATATTTAAGCTATTAATACTCGTTTGGTAATTTTACATATCCGTTAGTTAGAGAGCGTTATCAAGTAGCTATTTTTCTTGGGGTTCCTTATTGTTTTTTTGGGGAGAATTTTGAGGTTGGGTCTTTGGGGGATGAACGATTTAGAAATTGCAACTGTGCTGTTTTGTATATATATATGTGTGTGTGTGTGTTTGTATGTGTGTGTATTTATTTCGCTGTAAACAATTTATTAAATTTACTTATCGTTAGTTTCATACAAATACGCAAAATGGCTGTATAAATATTTAGTGTTCTTTTTTTTTGTTGCTTTTTTTATTGGTTTATTGTGTACACTTCATGCAAAAGAGGAAGTTAAAAACTGTTAAGTACATATAAAAAATATTATATATATATATATTTACCGTTACACTCATACATACATATTTACAAAGCTACAAGACAAACTGGATTGGAAAACAAGACGAATCGAAAAAAAAGCAGAGAGCCCTTACTAACAAACGAGCCTCTGGATCAAAGCTATTTTCTTTTGCCTGTTTAAATCGATTACTATCGATTATTATCGATTAGAGAATAGTTTGTTGAATGCTGAAAGTAATGGAGAAAAAACAAATGCATGCAACAACAAGAGCTCAAATCTATATATATATGTTCATAATTTATTTATTATTAATCTTATGTTCCTTTTTTTTTGAAATTTAAACAGTCTGCGTGTAAGTGTCCACTTATGTATATGTATGTATGTGCGTAGTCAAATACCATTATTTTTCCCTATATATTTTTTTCGTTTCTTCGTGTTTTTTACCCGTAATTGTAGTTGCAAATTTCAAATCAAATAGTACACATCACATTTCGTTAATGGAGGAGGAGAATTGCTTTTAGTCAAGTGAAAAACTCGAATCGATCGAAAACCAAAAGCCAAAAAAGAAATTAAACGCTACTGATTATTGGATTTGTGTATGTGTGTGTGTGTGTGTGAGTGTTTGTATATATTGAGTATTATTCCTTAAACGGTCGTCGATATATATATATATATATATCTATATATATTAAGTACATAAGTATTTATGTATAGTTGTGTAAGGTACAATATACAAACATGCATTGACATACGTACTAGCTACATAATGTATGTATGTATGTATTTATCTATGTATATAGACACGAGAGACATTAGTTTTCTATACGCGGAAGTCGGGTTTGATTTCAGTATGTAAAGCTTTTTTCTCAAAAATGCCGTCGTTTTGGTTTCAAAACTGAAATGAAATCGAAAAAATCAACAACAAAAAGAATAAAATAAACAAATATCAAATCAAAGTTCGAATAATACTTACAACAAAAAGAAATCAACAAATCAAATTGAGTTTTTTGTTTTTGTTTTTTTTTTTTGTAACTTGAAATTGCCATAATTATGTTTTTTGTGTTTTGTTTTTGTTGTTTGTGTTTTATTAATTGTTTTTAAGTTGCATTTTGTTTCCATTTATTATCGTTTGCTTGCTTACGATGCTAGTTTTACACACGAAAGAAAGTACAGCTACATGTATATTAATGGTATATTTGTTTTTGTTTTTGTTTTCGTTTTTTTTTTGTTTTAATTTATACATATATATAGTGTTTATATATATATATATATTTAGTATATTATATTATAATTTTTCTTCGCATAAGTTTTGTTTTGGATTTAAAATATTTACTCATCATATCAGAATGCGCAAGCATTGAATTCTGATTTTGCATTTGTTTTTTGTTTACAGTTGTTTACAATTACAATTACAATTAAAAGTATTACCTTGTATAAAAATAATAATATTAAGAAGAGCATACATTAATAGTGTGTGTGTGTATGTGTATGTATGTAAATGTGTGTGTGTGTGTGTATGTGTTTGTGTATATATGTTCTTATGTCGCCCCTAGCGATCACTTATCGTTATCATTCTAATCGTAACTTTCTTGCTCGCTTCATAGTTAAAATAACTAAATGTAGTTTAAAGTTTTTATTACAGCATAAGTTAATTTAATTTACGTACATTGAAAAATGTTCCACTTCTTCTACATTCTCATCTATATTTATATATATATATATATATATAGATTTATATATTTAATTTTTACTTGTATTTTTTTTTGTTTGTTAAACGCACGCTGCCAGCCCCTAGTCGAAAGGGGCGTGGCAGCATTGCTAAAGCGCGTGGTTCTGAAACGGCTGGAGCTGTGAAAGCATCCAATGCCAAATGTTCATCCTCTTTGTATGTGTATGTGTGTATGTATGTGTGAGTGTGTGTGTATGTATGTATGTGTGAGTGTGTGTGTGTGTGTGTGTGTTGAGATGCCAACTAACATTATTATTTGTATACTAAACATATTTTTATTAGCGTTATCATTTAAAATTATTATCAAATATATACAGTTTGCTATTTAACACATGAGTTGTTTATAGTTTTTGTTTGTTTTCTGCTTTTACTTTTGTTGTTTAATTTTTTTTGTGTATTAGTTTAAGATTTAGTTTTAGTTTAGTTGGTTGCTTGGCTGGTTGGTTGGTTTGTTTGTTTGTTGGTTGGTTGCTTGCTTTGCTCAGTGCGGGGCTGAGCGCTATTGTTTTTTGTTTGTTTTGTTTTTTCGGTTTTATATTTATTCATATATTATTTATATTTAGGCTTTTAGAGTTAGGCGATCTTGAAAATAAGACCTAAATCGTTACACACATTATCTAAAAATTAAGCGAACATTTTTGTTATTGGTGGCTTTGTTTTTCTCATTATCAATCAATTTTGATTTATACACAATTTTAGTTTTGCTGTTGTTGTTGTTGTTGTTGTATGTATGCCAGTTGAAGCAACTATTTAGCAAACGAGTTAGAAATTACATAATAATCATAAGAGTTACAAAATCATAACGCCCAGCCCCCTTCCCTCTCCTCTCTTTCTCTTTATCTTCCTCTATCCCAGCCTGCCGCGTATTTTACAAGATTTTTTGGGGGTTTGAGGGGAGCTTGATTACTGGATGAGGCAGGGGTTCTCCTCACACGCATATTTCCTATACATATTCACATGGAATATTAGGCGGATATATATATATATATAATCTATACATGTGTGCAGCTGACGTCTCTCTAGGCGGACGTCTGCTCGTTGCTGTCCACTTTGACCAGGCAGAGCGCACAGCAGCAACACTGCGACGACGACGATGACGACGATGGCTGCAACAGTTGCCCCAGTGCTAGCAGCAGGGGACTTGTCGTCCGTCCCGGACTCGACGTCGCTGCTGTTGTCCGGGCCAAACTGAGCGAGGTGCCGCTGGGCAGCGTGCAGTTGAGCGCTGAACTGCAACAAGCACCAGCAACTCCGTTGCCACCAACAGCACCACTTGCCATTATTATCGGATGTTAGCTGTTGTCCGCGTCTCATCTGTTGATCGTCGGCGTTGCATTCACGTTCACGTTGCTCGTCGTTGCATTCACACCACCTCCACCACCTGCGCCACCCGATCCGTTGCCATTGTTGTTGTTGCTACTGTTGGCATTATTGTTGTTGTTGTTATTATTATTGTTGCTATTGCTGTTGTTGTTGTTGTTGTTATTATTGGTGGTGCTGGTGGGCAGGACAACACCACCATTATTAGCACTGGCAATCACCTGCTCCACAGTCAACTGCGCCTTGCCCAATTGCTCCTTGGCAATTGTATCCGCTGCTGTGCCGACAACATTGTTGCTGCTCGCATTGTTGCTACTCGTGACAAGTTGGCGTATTGTGGTAGTTTGTGTTGTAGAACCACCACCACCACCACCAGCACCACCCGTGCTGTTAACGGTGGTGCCAATGGGCAGAGTGCGGGTGAGTATCGCCGAATTGCTGAATCTGTTGCGCAACACCTGCTGGAATCCCGCCGAACCCAATTGCATCTGCATCTGTCCGCTATTCTTCTGCAGCGGCTTCACATTCACCAGACTCGTATACAGGACACGTTTCTCTCCTGCCTGCACAGGACCAGCACTCGTCTTGAGTTTCTGATGATGCAGTTGCTGCTGCTGCTGCTGATGTTGCTGCTGCTGTTGATGTTGCTGCTGCTGTTGGTGCTGCTGCTGTTGTTGTTGTTGGATGGCTGCGGGAAGTGGTGCACCTGTCTTATTGAGCACCACAGTCGTTGCGCCCAACTGCTGGGTGGCCTGACTGACGAGCGTGTCTCCGGCATTCGTGGTTGCCGCACTGCTCACAAAGTTCAACTTGAGATTGGAATTGGGCAGCTCCTTGTAGTGGAGCTGCTTCTGTTGACCCGCATTGCTGGCGGCAACCGCTGCTTGCAGTTCACTGGCGGTGGCAATGGTGAAGTTGGCACCAGCGCCACCGCTGCTGTTGCTGCTCGTGAGGAAGATCTTGTTGGCCTGCTGGGCTGTCGCCTGCGATGTTATAATTGCCGTCGCCGGCTGCAGACTGTAATTGTGATTGGCTGCAATCGCCGCCGCCGAGTTGGGCTTCTGCTGCTGTTGTTGCTGCTGCTGCTGCTGGCCCGACTGCTGTTGCAGATTCAGATCGGAGACTAGCAATGGGAACTGTGTCATTTTTATCACCTTGCTGAACTTTTGCAACTGTTGCTGCTGCTGCAGATGTTGTTGCTGTTGCTGCTGCTGTTGTTGTTGCTGCTGCTGCTGCTGCATTGCATCATTGCCGTCCTGCAAGGTGAGCTGCTCGCCGGCACACTTGGCCACCAGCTCATCTTCCTGCTGCACCAGTTGCTGCAACTGCTGCTTCGTCAGCTGAATCTGTTGCTGTGCCACCGCCTGCTGCCCCACCTTGCGCTGCGAGAATTTACGGTTCAGCAGCAGTTTGTTAATGTCTGCAAAGGTGTAAAAGACTTATTAACTTCCGATTATCGAAACAGTTTAAAAGCAAATCAGGGCAACACATAAGCAAACTAAAAACTGAGCCGATTTCAATGTCAATTTTAAAATACGACTAACTTTGTTATTCACTTCACAAATAAGCTAAGCAAATCAAGTTCGGGCAGTTGCAAATATTTTCAAAGTCTTCATAAACTCCTCCCAGCGTAAGAAGCATTTGCTGTTAATATTTTCGTATTTTGGTATAGTTCCTGGAAAAGCGCATAATGAAAGTCTACAAGGACATCCTCACCGATGATGAGATGTTTACGGATACGTATAAAATGAAATTGGTGGACGATGTCATCTATGAAGTCTATGGCAAGTTGGTCAGCCGTAATCAGGATAATATTGTGTTGGCTGGTGCCAATCCATCGGCGGAGGATGCTGATGCAGACATTGATACATCAGCTGTGGAGAGGGGCATTGATGTTGTACTCAATCATCGTCTGCAGGAATCCTTTGCCTTTGGCGATAAAAAATCATTCACCAGCTACCTAAAGGACTACATGAAACGGCTGTTGACGAAACTGCAGGAGAGTTCACCCGATCAAATTGATGTGCTCAAGAGCAACATGAGCAGGACAATGAAGGATATTCTGGGCAGATTCAACGAATTGCAGTTCTTCACGGGCGAATCGATGGACATCGATGGCATGGTTGCCATGTGCGAATATCGCGAAATCGATGGCGAAAGCGTGCCAGTCTTCATGTTCTTCAAACACGGCCTCCAAGAGGAGAAATTGTAAGCCGTAAATAGTAAATATATGTGAAAAATATATCTAGAATGAATGAATTAAGACTATTAAAGAAATCTGTTCAATTCATCTGCTAAATTTGTCTTTTGTAACTTTTTTTGAATGGTTAAATTAAACCCCTTGAAATGGACATGTGACAATTGTGGATTGGTTAGGCAACTACAGACAAATAAACTATACACAATACAAATAAAATTGTTCTAATGAATTCAACAAAGCTACAAACACCAAAAACAAGTGTTTAAAATGTTTGCATTGTTGCACAATTTGAAGTTGATGATTTACCTGTGTTTTCGGGTCCGTTTAGCTGTCGCTTCTGCGTCGCACGACTCGTCCACAGAATCTTGTTGCCCACAGCCGTTGCCGAATCGGCTGTGGTGGTGGAGAGCACCGCTGTTGTTGCCACAGCTGTATTTGTGCCGCTCACTTGACGCCATACAATCGGTTGTTGCTGCTGCTGCTGTTGTTGCTGTTGCTGCACCAACTGTTGCTGCTGCTGTTGATGGGCATTATTGTTTCGCGTGGGCGTGGTCACAATCAGGGGCGTGCTGCTTGTTGTCTGCTGTTGTAGCTGCTGCTGCTGTTGCTGCTGTATCCCTGAAATGCTGTGCACCGCCAGCTGCTGGCCACTCGCCGTGTTGATGATGTTGACGCTCGAAGAGGCTGCGGAGGATTGCGAGGAGCTGCTGTCATCGTTCTGCAGCTTCACATTGGACAGTGTGATGACCGTGTTGGGTCCAATGGAGGCGTTGCCACCTCCCGCACCACTACTCTTCTGTATGGCATAGGTGACCTTCTGGCCGCCCACAATCTCGCCACTGCTGGTCGTATAGATCATGTGGTTGCCACTGCGCGATGTCACAATGCTCTGCGAGGAGATCACAGCCGGTGAGCCGCTGATATCACGCTGCATCTGGAAGAGCAATTGCTGTTGAGGTTGCTGCTGTGGTTGCTGCACCACCTGCTGCTGCTGCTGCTGCTGGGGTGTTGCCTGTCTTTGTTGCACGGTAACATTGCGAAGTTGCGCCTGCGCCAACTGATGCTGCAACTGTTGCTGTTGCGGCGTCAACGTCGGCAGCGTCTGCGTCTGCAATGGACTGCTGCCGGTGTGTGGCGTTATGGTTACAATGTCACCCACAGCGGTGCCACTACTGCTTACGAACTCGGTGCGCGCAATTAGCTGTGCGGCAGCAGCTGGTGTCGCATTGAATTGATTGAGCAGCTGCTGCGTCACTGCCACCTGAGTGGGAGGCTTCTGTTGTTGCTGTTGCGTTGTGATCTGGGCGGGTATGTTAAGCAAATGTGTTGTTGTTGTTGCTCCTGCGACTGCTGCAGTGGTGGTGTTGGTGGTAACCAGCGCAACTGGCGCTGCTGCAACTGGAATTACAACTGCTGTTGTCGCCACGGCTGTTGCAACTGGGAGAACTGCTGCTACATTGACGGGCGGGGTTGGTGTTGCTGTTAATGTAACTGCTGCTGCTGGTGTTGCTGCTACGGCTGTTGTTGCTGCTCCTGCTGCTGCTACTGCTACTGCTGGTATCGAAGATATCGTTGCTGGTGTCGCCTCCGCTGGCTCCAACTTGATTGGCAACGCAAGCTCTGTGGCTGCTGCCGCCTCTGGCTGTGACTGTGCCTCTGGCGCTGGCGTCTCCTCCTCCTGCTTGATAACGGGCGCTGCTTCTGCTGCTGTTGCAGTGCTAAAGAACAGAGGCGACGCCTCGACGCTCTCGGCCATGGTGAAGCTGGAGCTGCCAATGGATGCAAGCGGTCCACGCTGATGAGCCGCTCGATAGCGTGCCGTGCGCTTCAGCTCCGAGGAGGAGGCTGCATTCGGCGTCATCGTTGTTTTGCAATCCAGCAGATTCTCGGCGTTTTCGACATCATCGACGACGGCGGCTTCGCCGTCGAGAATGCCGTTCCAGAAGTTGGTGGCCTGATTGAGAGCCTTGGGGTCATCCATGCTGCACTCTTGCAGGATGTTGACCAGCATATGCTCGTCGCCCAGCAGATTGTTGATATCGTTGAGCGAATCACCGCCACTGAGATTGAACTCAAGCGCCGAACCCGAACCGGTGCCCGAACCGCAGTCGGAGCAATCACCATTGGCACCGTTGCCACCGTTATCCGAACTACGATTGCTGCTGCTGCTGTCGCGAGCGTAGTCCAGCGCATAGGCAGTCTGCAGCAGCTGTGCATCCGCATCGAGATCCGTGTATTTGAAGGTGCTGCTCATGAAGTGGGCTCCAGCTGCGGATGATTCAACTGCAGCCACATCAGCATCACCGCTGCACTTGCCCAGACGACTCAACTCGATGCTAATGGGCGTATCCTGAGTCCAGTCCACTAATCCACCATCCGAGCACAGTTTGCCATTGTCTTCATCGCCCTGATTGCTGTCCGAGAGTTCGTCCGTGGGCGTCTTGGGTCGGAAGTGCAGCCAATCGCGTCGAATCTCCGAGAGCAGCTCATTGCAGATGTCCAACCTTTGACTGGACGTGGGCGACAGTCCGCCCATATAGTCGTAGGTCTCGTTGTCGTCCTCCGTTGGCGCCGCAGCACCCTCGCCACCAGCATCAATGTGCAGCTGCTTGTTGTGCAGCCGAATGACGTCGGGCATCTGGTTGAAGCAGCGCTGTTGGCTCTCCTGCAGCTGCAGCTGCTCCTGCTTTTGCCTCTGCTGCTGTTGCGCCTGCAGCTCCTTCTTGACAGCCGTGTGACGAATAATGCTGCTCAACTGCGCCAGATTCACATCATCCTCGGCCTCGTCGTCGTCCAACAGATCCGCCGGATGTTGCAGCTGCAGCTGCTGCTGATTCTGCATGGTTGCCGCTGTTCGTATGCTGCTCAGTGGCTCATTGGAGTCATCTGCATCGATCAGTTCACGCTTTATCGTCCTTGCCACATCCTCAACCGTTTCATTTGCATTTACAGCTATTGTTGTGGCAGCTGTTGCTGCTGCTGTTGTTGTTGCTGCTGCTGCGGCTTCGGCAGCGCGTGCTGCAGCTGCTGCCGCCGATGTTGAGGCAACTGGCTGCTGCTCATTGGCAGCAGCACCAATAGTTGCATCCTCGGCGTCCGTGTCCGCTTCCTCCACTTTTATCACATTGAATTTTTCGCTAATGCTAACATCCTTATTCATATTACTATTACTACTACTATTGTTGTTGCTGCTGTTGTTGTTGTTGTTATTATTATTATTAAACACGGTGTTGTTGTTATTATTATTATTATTGGAACGGTGGTGGTTGTGCTGATGATTAGCGTGTCGCAACGGCTGCTCATCGCAGATCTCCTGCTTCAACTCGAGCTCCCGTTGCTCTGCCGACTGCTGCAGCTGCAACTGCTGTTGCTGCTGCTTCTCCCCACTCGTCACCTCATCTGTCATTAGCAACTCTGCGCTCTGCGCCGGCTTCGTTGTCGTCGCCTGCAGCGCGAGCGCTAAACGTTGCAAATAGGCGCGTGGCAGCGGACACAGCGGCAGGGGGATAGCCTCGCCCATGTTGTTGCTGCCAACCACATCGCTTTCGATGGTGGCACTCTTCAGACGCTTGGCGGCATTAAGTTCTCGCAACTGCTGCTTTTTGCGACGCAGGCGACGGCGTTTCATGCGTACATCGTAGGAATTTTGTGGCAACGTCACCGCTGAGCTGTAGACGCTTAGACGCGACACATTCTCATCCTCTGTGCACAGCTCATCCTCTTCCTCATTGTCTTCCTCCTCCGCCTCCTCCTCCGGCTCCTCCTCATCCACAGCCGGCTGCTTCTGCTGCTGCTGTTGATCTTCCTTGGACAGCAATGTCTGCTCACTGCTATCTGTTGGCTCAATCTTGAGCAGCAGTTCGGGTGCTGCGGCATTTCCGCCACTGTCCGCATTTGTCGCCTTGCACGTGGGCAAATCGACGACGGTGGGCGGGGAGCAGGGCTTGGACAACAGCGACTGTTGCTGTTGTTGCTGCTGGTGTTTGATTGGCTTGCCGCTCTTCACAACACTCTCCAGCACCGTATAGTCGAGCTGAGACCACAGATCATCGTACCGACTGCTGGCCCTGTCAAGCAGCACACGTCCACCTCGCCCCAGACGCCGTCGCGCAAATCCAATGCAGCGTGGCCTGCCAGCAAATAAACAGTAATTAGCATTTTGAAGTGATAAAGGCTGAGTCTAAAATAGTCCAACGCACCTGATATAGTTGACCGAGGTGAGCGTGTAGCGGTATTTAGCCTCAGGCCCATTTGCCGCACCGGGCGGCGCTTCTTCCTCAGCGTTTTCATCGGGCAACTCCCACGGCCAGCGGCCCTCTTGAGCTCCTCGCATCTGTTGTTGCAGTTGATAAAATGGGAAACATTGATTATCAATGGTTTATAAAAGTAAGATTAGGCTGTACTTCATCAATCTTATTATTATTATTGGTTGCTTCATGCACTGCGACCTGTTAGATCTATTGTGCCCCCTGTTAAGCCTATAGCTTTTCCATCAATCCCAATTCCTGCAGAGCTGAGACCTGGTGCCTCATCTGACTTGCCTATCTCAGCTGTCGCCTATCAAACTACCGTTGAATCTTAATAAACTACTACAAATTAATATTTTAAATACATATTCAGTCTGTGCATAGATAATAAAAACTAGTTTATATACATATATATGCTTACCCGCAGGTAATTACAGCTGGTCTTGCGTCTAAATGCAAACGGCGCCTCCTCCTCGCTCTCGGAGCCCAGCTTGTTGCCATTCTGGGCGCCGACACCGCCGAGATAGTCCTCTTCCTCGCTGTCCACATTCGACTCGATGGCCGCTGGCGATGCGCTCTGGCGATGCAGATGATGCAAATGGGACAGATGCGCCGGCGAAACGCCCGACGCTGACGACGCCAGTCCACCAAGTCCTGGTAAATACTGTTGTTGCTGCTGCTGCTGTTGTTGATGCTGCTGCTGATGATGATGCAGCTGCTGCTGCTGCTTTTCGCGCGGCAATTTATGTTTGCGCTTCTTGTACGGCCGTTTCTCCTTGCGACTGCTGCTCCCATTGCCACTGCCAGCGCTGATGCCATCTGCACGGATTACAATATAATGAGAAATGGGTTTTTTCTATTGCTGATCCACCACTTACCCATTGTCAAACCCGATGAGGTCAGGTACTGCGCAGACGATCCGTAAACCGAATTGCTGTTGCCCGCCGCTGCCAAAACGCCTGGCGGCAGCACACCGCCGGCGGTCAGCAGAGCACCCGTCGCATTCGATCCGGCTGCCGTTGCGCCTTGTGAGTATTGATTCGTATACAATGAATTGTAAACGGGTCTGCAAAAGTACAAGCAAAATCAATTAGCATTAATAATCATAAGTTAACAAAAGTTGATCAAGCATAAATCTTAAATTTGAATTAATCTATACTCTCTAATCATATTCCATTCATTTGAAACGCACCTCGAGTTCTTGTATTGGGCATTGAGCTCAGAGTAGATAGCACCGTTAAAGTCGCGCAGCTCGACACGCTTCTCGAAGATGTTGACCGTCGTCTTGAGATGATCGCGCTTCGTCTCCTCGCGCCGCCGTACCATCTCCAGTATTGTTGTGGCACGCTGCAGGTCGCGTCTGTTGCGCATGCGGAAAACAACATGGGCTAATTAAATGCAAGCGCAAAAAATGGCGATTTCTATTTGTATTACCGCAGCTTGAGCATCTTCTCGTAGGAGGCTTCGTCGTTCTTGCGATTCTTTCGCGTCTGCATTTTCTCAGTTCGCCGTCGAAACGCCAGATACGGATTATTGGAGCTGGCCCCCGGTCGACTCTCCGTCTTAACGATGAGTATTAGCGGATGTTGCTATACGAGTATACAAATTGAGAATGGTTATTGTATTGTATTCCTTGTGGTTATTTGGGTTTTACCGTCTTGAGGCGCTTGTTCAGCCAATAGTCGTACACCGATATGCTGGTCTCATCGTCAAGATTGAGCAACGTTTTGGCCTCGTTGAGCGTGACGACCGTTTGCCCGGAGCTCTTCTCCAACCGATCCATCATCTGTTCGAATCGCAGCTCGGTCAGCTGCAGGCGCTGCTGCTGATTCAGCCAATCCTTGTCCGCACTGTCCATATCATAGTCCGGCACCTCCGTGTCCAGGCCAAGCGCTACAAATTTATATTAATCAGTATTTGAGTGACTTAATAGTTTAATAGTTAAATCTTACGCTGCATGTGGATCATTTGGCGGGGCATTTTGTAGTCGGGCGGATAGTAGGCATCGTAGAAGGTCTGATCCGTCTGCAGCACCTCCGGCGTGGGTATGATGAGGCCCGTGCAAATGGCTCGCTGTAGATGATGCTCCTGTTTGGTGACGAGTGGAAAGTGTGCATCAGTTACATATTCTCAATTTATATAATTTAGTTTGGGATGTGGGTTTGCCATGTGCCATGGACATAAACAACTCACCGACTCTTCCTCTTTCTCCATGCCACTGGGCATTTGTGGCACGGCTCGATTAATGGCCGAATACTCGGGCAAATCGGGCAACTCCTCGGACAAGTAGATCGGCATCTGCTTGGACGGATCCAAGTGACGTGCTCTAAATGATAGTTTCGACATTTTGTTGGATGTGGATGTGTGGGTTGGATGTAGTTGTATGGAACGTTTAACTGCTAAATGTGTGTGTGGAATTCTTTGCTTGTTGTTGTCTGATTAATAATGTTGCTGATGTTGTTGTTGTTGTTGTTGCTGTTGTTGTTGTTGTAGGTGGTAGATGGTGTATGGAGTGGCTTTTAAGTTGACGCTATTGACGCTCTGGTGCAGTGGCAACTGCCAATGCCAATGGCAGATCCCCCAACAATCAGTGGCAACGACAACTGCAACGGATCCCTACAACGGCGATTCCTTGTTGCTGTTGCTGCTCCTTCTACTGCTGCTACTGCTGCTACTGCTTTAGCTTGACACGAGCCTTCTTTTAAGAGTTTCGTTGTTCTCGTTGTTGCTGCTAGCCTCGCAAATGAAGCGTCTATGGATGGAGGAGATATGCTGCTCTTGGGCGTATGCAACGGCGTCAATCTTAACGCCGAACGAGTCTTATTTGTTGTAGTTGCTGTTGCTGCTGTGATTGACTGCTGCACTGCCTCCGACTGAGCACCGGGGCTGCGGTGGCAATGGCTGCTTTGCCAGCTAATATACGCAGCCCCTGTGCCCACTGCTTCCGTTCTCTTGCCGCTGTTGTTGCTGTTACTGTTGCTACTGTTCTTTGTTGCTGCTTTTCTTTTGTTGTTGTTGCTGTGCTTGTGATTGACGGCAGTTGCTACTGCTGTATAAAGAGGCGTGTCCAACGTAACTGTTTGCTTACAACTCCTTGTTGCTCCTTCTGCTGCTGCTGGGTTGCTTTCTCTGCTGTTGCTGTTGCCGTCGTCCTCTGCTGCTGCTGTTGCCGCCAGCTGCTGCTGCTGCTGCTGTTGTCGTCGTCGTCGTTGTTGCTCGTTGAATGCGACGAACAGCGTTGAGAGCAACAACAGGGCCAAGGAGGTGATTAGTTTATTGCAATTACGACGACAACGCAGTGGTAGCAACAACAATAACGAGTGCAGCAATTGTGTCGACGACATTTTTCACGTTGAAATCGAAAAAATTATGTGAATTGGCATAATTACGTTGATCAAATTTGCACATTTCAGTTCATCTTTAATTCTTAATAATGTTTGTTTTTATTATTATTTACTATAATTATTATTTGTATTTGTATTTGTATTATTGACGATTTCCAGTTGCCGTTTTTGTTTTATGCTTTGCTTCGTTTACATTAACTGTTAGTTGCTGCAGCTGATATAAATCTGCAAAAATGACATATATACAAAATTAGTAAACAAGTCACACAGACACGCACTACACACATATAAATAAATATTCAAAGACTGGAAGAAAAAAAAGGAAAACAAAGCGTGCGCGGGAAAAATACATTTTAGTTTGGGCAACTGCAACACATATACGTATATATATATATATACACACACGCACACAAATGCACTCTCTAAACAATAAACAATAAACAAATCACACACACACACAAATGCACGCATTTTGTTATTGTCTGACGCGCTTTTGAACATGATGAATCATTTTCACATTTCTTTTTGAACGCAATTCACTCAGCCTGCGTGTGTGTATGTAATTAACGAAAGAAAGAAAAAGAGTGCTAAAGAAAACAAGCACAGAATTTGCGGTTGTCAAAGCGCGTTCAACAAAACACAAAATAAAAAACACACACACAAAAACTGCAAAATCATAATGAAGGCGAAAAAAGATAGAAGCAGAAAAAGCCGCGCCGCCGATGCGAGTGTAAAAAAGGCGGCATAAACAAACACACACGCGGCGAGTTCGCCCAAAACAAATGCGGCGAATTGCACGAAGAAAAACACGAAGCCCATCCGCAAAATACGATGAAAAAAAAAACCGTAGCACTCTTCATGTGGGTTTTGTTTTTCGCAAATATTCGCCAGAACATCGAGATTTTATAGCTGCGATATATTTTGTAGAGCTTGCATTAATTTTTAACGCACTTTACCGCGTTTTTCACACACCTGCACGCACAATTTTGTTGATAATTCGCTGAAAAATTTACACAAATTTCACGAATTTTGCGTATAGCGTGGTTTTGCTGGAAGCAGTAATGGCGGCCATAGCCGAAGACTAACGACGACGCATAGCATTCCCAGGCCGCGAATATTTTGTTTGCGGCATCGGCGTTGCTTTAACAGCAGCTTCGGAGTAACGATAACAATTAATTTGTACGCAATAGAAGAAATAAGCGAGGAATACATGCACAAAAATTAATTTAACACTACAACTAAATTATTTTAATGTTTTCTTTGAGATTCACACTGAAAACAATAATTATCGATGAGGTAAACAACGGCGTCAATGACAATTAGTACGGCATAGAACTCTGCGACTCCGAAACGTGCACCAGTGCCGCCCTCTGGCGAGCTGCACTCGAATAACAGGCAAAAGCAGCGAAAAGATTTTTTTTCACAAACAAGAAAATCGATTTACATTTTTCACGCACATTCTTTTGCACTTAATTTGCGTTTGTCACGTCAGAAATGTGTGGAAATCATGTGCTTCCACTGTATTTTTGTTTTCCGTAGCGAATTTAGCAATATTTTGACAGTTTCGTCAACATAAACGTTTGCAATTGTTTTTCTTCGACGGACACGTTTTTACTTAATGGCGGGCGGCCATCACGAATTGATACTAAAGCATTTTCGGAGTCGAACGCTCGTCGCATTGCCTTGGAAATTATTTAGGGTAGCTCAAATTGCGTTGCACTCGATCAATTTAAATAGGGGTCTCGCTAAAAATTGCAAAATTTAATTCTAAATGGAATTCATACAATGGGAGCATGGGCAATCGGCTACATTTGTTCATAAATTGTTATTATTTTTCTTTGTTTGGTCAGCGGACAGCAAAGTGCCAGCGACTTAGCGATGGGAGCAACATCACTTCAACGATATATCGATTAAGCCGATTGGCAATGTACTCAGAATTTGAGACTGCTCCACTTGACGAACTTTCTGCTTGTTTAACGAAGAATGCTCACAAAATATATTTTGAACAATTTAGGTGGAATGCCTTGACTACCCTTTCTGTAAATGTGGAAAAATCTACAGCACTGGCATCGTCTTTAAAAGTTATCTGTGCTTTTATTTATTAAACGTCTTCAATTCAATTTATGACTATGGAGTAATAAAAAAGTTTCTTACAGCGCTGTTAATAACTTAGCAAACTATTTTAGATTTAGGAGCGGACAGGCCTGAATTTCATGTGGCATGAATCGTGCTTGCTCCATCTAGCGTTCAGTGGAAAAACTTGAAGAGTGCGTACTGCAGTCTTTTTTCGTAGTAATGTTCACAGCAAACATCTTTTGTCAAGTGCACCTTATCGGCTCATACAATGCAGCTTTTGGAAAAATCACTTTATTTTTATGCACTCGCTTTATTACACTTTTCAGTACAAAATGCTTGCTCGGTGAATTTAATAACTAAAATTTCTGTTATATGTGTTAATTAATTGTGTGTGACCACAAAATATATAAACGCGATGAAACCTGATCGAAATAAACTAATGAGAAATATTGTCTTAAGCAAAGAAAACAGTACGATAACTGTAAATTCTCTTTGGTGCGCTAGCAAGCAGTGCAATCCAAAAAGAAAAAAAACTGCTTTCATAATTAGTTTAGTTAGTTTTATTTGACTAATAAAACACAACGTATTAGTTAATATAAAAATAATTTTATTTTGCCGTTGGGCTCTGTGTGATTGAAAATTAATTAAAGACTGCTGAAACATGTTATGTTCTAACCAAAGGCTCGCTGAAGACAACCAAAGCCATATCCTATTTTTTAGGTATTCTATGCTAAAATTTGTATACTAGGAGACAGAATATGGAATATCTTTCGAAGATCTTTCTGTTAATTGCTTATAAGCAAGGAAACAGAAGATGAGAGAGCCCTCAGAGAGACAGAGAGGGAGAGAGAGAGAGAGAACAGACGTTGAGAGAGTTGTTCGTTCTGTTGCATACCCATGGTTAAATACAGAAATACACATGAATACGACGAAAGAGCAACGAAGGATAATTATTGTAAATTCGCCGTGTCATCGTTTTCACGAGAGAAATTGATCTCTGTTGCTGCTCAGAAAGTGAAACAAATTAAACAAAATAAGAGAGTAGTATTATTATTGTTGTATTTTCACTTAGTTAAATTTGCTTTTATTTTTCCCAACCACAAATGAAGAAGTAAAGAGAGAGAAATTCACATTTTATGCGCTTTATTTGTAAATAATGAAAAATTATTGGAAGTTTTCGCTTCGGTTTCAAGCACTTTTCGACTTAGATTGTTTACTTAGGTAATTGCTTGAGATAATTAACTTTATTTTAATGTGTGTGTTTCGAGGGTACATTAATTAATTTAACTTCATACATTGAAAAAAACTGTGTGTGATTTCTATATTTTGATCAGGCTAAAAATTATTCATTAGGTGAACCTTATTTTTGTTATAGATAAATATTAACAATTTAAAAGCTGCTTTTTTTTTTTTTTTGCTTTTGCGATTAATATATGTATTACATTTATAATGTTTAATACTAATACAGGGCTTAATTAGGAGTATCTCGAATTGGCTTGAGCAACAAAAAACTAAAAGTAAGCGTATTTATATTCAAAATATTTAATTGCTTAATATTGGAAGAACAAATAAAAAGCTTTATTTGGTGTTCGATTAGCTGCCACTCAAAAGCGATCTAAAAGCCTTGAAAGCTTTCTTCTTCCTCTTCTTCTTCTGTTTGTTCTTCTAAACTCCAACGTTGATTCTGCAATTACTGTTGTTGTTGCTGCTGTTGCTGTGCTGATGCCCAAAGTTTTGTTGTTGATGCTTTTGCTGCTGCTGCTGTTTGCTGTTGTTGCTTTGAATTCGCCGCAATTAGGACGTACACATTGGATACATACACAAGTGTGGCTGGCCCTGTGACAGAGTGCGCATGCATGCATTGACTCACACACACGCACACAGGCACGGGGCCCAACCGACTGGCAGCAGTTGCGCGCAAATGTGCGTGCGCAGCTTGTCCACAATTGCGTGTATATGCATGTGTGTGTGAACATATACATAAGTAAGTGCTGCAATTGTCGAGCAGCTGTCGCGCTCATTGCGGCTACTGTCATGGTATGCGATGGCGTACATGATGAAAAAATTTTAAGTCAGACAGTGGTGGCGTATGTGAAAAAGCACCATAGCGTATAATGGGGTAACGGGTAAGGGGTAACGGGTAACGGGATAACCTATGTTTGAGAGTTTGCGGGAGAGCGAGAGAGAGCGCGACTGTTGTGCGAGAGAGCTTTGCCGCCGAACGCAGGCGAAAAAGCCTTGCCGCACACACAGCATGGCGCCTGTGCAGCTTTATTTGTTACACACTCTGACTGATGTATATAAAAGAAACAGATAGCGATATAGCGAAAGAGAGACAGACAAAGCGATTTGATGCTTAGATGAATTGAGCATATTTTAAGGAACTGAGCGCAGGCCTTTGACTATGCTTGCCGTTATATGTGTGTGTTTATATATGGCTGAGTGGGTGGTTATGTGTGCTGTATTTATGTATGTGTGTGTGCTTATGTCGTTATTATTATGGTGCTTATCAAAACGAAAGAAATTATAGCAGGAAATCATGATTGGCACGTAGGCGAAAGCACTTGGTCATAACGGGACTTGGGGGATATGGTTCTAGGCGTTTCTCAATGAACTCAACTCAAGCAAACTAAAGTAAAACAAAAAACAAAAAAAAGTATACGTTTAAGGAAATGTTGGTTTTTCTTGTTCTTCGTTGTTATTTTTGTTCTATTCTTTTTTTTTTTGTTGTTTGTTTGTTGGTTTTTCTTTTACAATATTCAACAACCAATACCAATATTTTGTGAAATGCTAAATTGCTATATTGGTAAAGTCTTTGATATTCATTTAGTGCTTTTTGTATTGTGAGGAATCTATGGATCTTCGAATATGCCGCAAAACGGCGCAAAAAAACGGGACTGGAAATGGCATAAAATTCATTAAATATGTAATTTGAAACCCGCCTAATATCATAGTAAAAATTGACGATCGTTTTTTATGAGAACTGTGATGGGTTTTGTTTTGTTTTTGTTTTTTTTTTGTTGGCTAAGACTGAAACTGTATATTGTGCTTGTAGATCAGTAGTTTAGTGATATTGTATTTTGTTTCTAATTTCGAGTGGATCGATATGCACTGGAAACTTAAGAAACGGATCGAACATTCTAAATACCTAAGTCAGTGGTTTTCAAAAAATTCGCTTCTCTAAGTACGGTGATTATATAATATATATAGATATATATATATATATCTGTGATGTCCCCATTCCAGTTACGAGTGCATATCTAATGTGGAACGTGTTGGAATTTAGATATATTGTTGTTGTTGCTGTTTTTTGTGGTAACTACGGAGAGTGTCTCTAGTAGAGTTCTATGTTTGTGAAGTATAGTTTAGATTAAAAAGAGTTGTAAAGAAAACAGAGTTTTTGAGAATAGAAATATGTATACAGATAAAGATAAAGATTGGGAGAGATGTTTATATATATAGAGCGAGAGAGAGAGAGAGAGAGAGAGAGAGTAAGTAAGATTCAGAGAGAGATTGAGAGAGAGAGAGAGATGTTTAACTACAAAAAGTACTAAACTATAAATGATATTTGTTTCTCGTTTTGTTTCTTGCACTACAAATCTGTATCGATGTGTGGTGATTTCCCATTTCTTTTGTAATTGATGATCAAATAAATTTGAGTTTTGAGTTTTGGTTTTTTTTTTTTGTTGAAAATCTGGAGAACGCATTAACTTTCAATCAAATACTTGGGCATAAGAATATTGTCCACATTCACAAACCAAAATTGGTTAGATATTTATGTATATATATTTAAATGTATATAGTATATATACTTGTATGCATATTGTATGTATATATAGAGAGTCAAATAAACCAACATACCAGAAAATCAATGTTAAACACAACGCAAAACTAAACTATACAAAAACCAAAACAACTTTCGAAAATCTCTGGGATGTGTTGTGGTTAAGAGAGTTCCATATTATATAGTGCATGTATATAACTAGATAAATGTGTGTCTCCGTTGAACTCTGGATCAGGGCGAGCGAGTTAAGAAACAGGTTGCAGGTGCAGAAAAAGAAGTTCTATGCAAAACTTACCTTTCGGGGGGGACGGGGGAGATTACAACTAGGCTAAATGTTTTAACATTAACATTTTAACATGCGTCACGCTTGGACGGAGCTGAACAGTTTGAACTTTGCATGTCCTGGCATTGGTTGTTGTTGTTGTTCTTGTTGTTGTTGTAGTTGTTGTTGTTATTGGAATAATTATTAACAGCAAGTTAGTAACTAAAGCCAGCACTAAGTAGTATAGCAGTATATATATGCATATAGATATATATGTATGTTACAGATGAAGGGTGCAGTTGAGCCAAAAAAGAGTTGATTCAAAAGGTGATTTAAGAGTTGAATACGTGATTGAGAGAGAGAGAGAAAGATTGAAGTAAAGTACATAAGTATATATATATATGTATATATATATATATTATATATAGCATATACATAAGCATACATATGTAGCATGTATGTAGTAAAAATGTTTATTATTAATTTCGGTTTAGCCAATTTTCTATTACAATAGAATACAAATGAAAATTCGAATTGTTCATTACGCCTAGGAATACAAATTCAACTTGTCATAATTATGTAGTTGTATATATATAATTATCAAATCAAATCAAAAGCTACATTTTTTTTAACAATATAACATGTGTGTAAAGTACATAAATGATTTGAGGTTTTGGTATTTTGGTATTTAAAAACTATCACTAGCATGAATAACAAATTAAGAGCGATATAGTCGCAATCAGACCGACTATTGCAATACCCTCTACACAGTTTCCAAGCATTTGCCATTATTCAAACTGAAAGCTATTTTTAATTATTGGGTATTATCTTTTCCTTGATCAGACGAACGATAAAAGCCACGATATTATCCAAGATATAGAAAATCTGTGGTAAGGGGGAGGGATTTATTTTGTTTTTGGTTTTTGGACTACTTACTGGCTAATTATCACTTGTTGAAAGAGAAACTAAAGACAATGAAAATGATTGAAATATTCTTTATACAGAGCTAAAAGCAACTACTTGGACATAATTAACATAAATTGATAAATTCATAAATTGTGTCTTGTCTACTCCTGGAGCTATCTAGAGTAGTAATTGTGATATGATATTGGACATATAGATCATATATAGCTTAACGATTAGGAATTAGATGACTTCTTCACTTTTGGTATAAACATAATGAGCAAAATTTCATTTGAGTTTTCAATGCGGCAATTGACAAGCATTCATCAGACTTGACTATTGCACAATACTTTTTCCTTTTCCACATCGCGTTAACCATTACAGGGGGTGAGGGGCACACTGACATACTACTACTATAAAGACATATATATATATATATATATATATGTGTATATATACAGAACAGAAACAGATTTATACAATTGCTTATGCCTAGTGTTCCAAGTGACTTATTAAGCTTACTTATGAATAGAGTATGATTGATGTGTGCTTAACTCATTTCATAAATATCTATTATATATAAATTTATTTTTATTTTTGTGTGTGTGTGTGTGTGTGGGAAAACTCTCTATAAATGTAAGTAACAAAATGTAATGAAATGTTTGAACTACAGATACGAGTACCTACTTAAGCGCTACATGCTTTAGCATTAACAACATGCATTCCAAATATATATGTGGTATGTGGTATGTGATTCAGTATTGATCGAGAGTACTTTCGAGTATCAAACATTCCAAGTAGTATGCAGTAGTAGTATGCAGTAGTATTAGTATATAGTAAGTTGTACGTATATAGATTCATGTATGCAACATCTGACAAGGTGCAACAAAGCGCGCATTTCATTTTCTATTCACTTTCATTCATTTTCGGAAAATGTTGTTCGATTTTGTCGTATGCAGTATGCAGCACTTCTTTTTGTGGAAGTTTCTTTGTATGCATATATATATATATGTATATATATGCATATATGTGTTTGTGTGTGTGTGTGTGTGCAGTCAAAAGTTTTCAATCTACTTGTAGCAATATTAGTATTCGATTAATAACTGTGCTTGCAGAATGAAAATCAACTTGATTAATCACAAAGTTCGACTACGAAACAATTTCAAGTTACGTGTTAATGTTTATGTGTGTGTGTGTGTGTGTGTGTATTTGTGTGTGTGTGTGTGTGTTAGCCATGATCTCTTACGAATATGTCTCTGTTATCTGTATGTACTTTTAACCGCTTCTAAGGGACTTAACGAATGTGTCTGTGTGTGTTTGTTGTTATTAATGTTGTTTGTTTGTTTGTTTGTTTTGTTATTGTTGTTGATCTATCTGTGCACAAATTGTTGCAGGAGCAGTTTTAGCCATGGCGTTAGGGTGATTATGATTAGATGGTTGTAACCGTTTGCGAATGAGTATAAACTTTTACTAGAATTGCACATATCTTCCTCACAAAAGCACATATGTCCATTGCCTGAACTTTCCATCATGCACACGTGATCGACCATGAATAAATTGATTTGTAATTGTGACGTACACATGCGTCGCACCACCTCGTAGGCTGCAAGACAAACGACAGAAGAGCATACAGAAAATATGTTGACTGGACACAATTGAGAAACCCCACCCACCCCTCCTAACTCATCTATGGCATTTTCCATTATACATTTTTAAGGCATATTTTACACAATCTGCTTTATCCAAAATTAAACGAGTGAAATTGATAATCACTATCTCAATTCTTCATTTATTTAAAAGCGATTTACAGATGTAAATATTTCTAGATCATATAGTAAAATAACGGAAATGAATACGGCAAAAAATATGGAATCAATTCACAATCTTTACTGGAGTGTTAACATATATATATTTATTTGTATATCTGACTTAAGGCAATATGGGAATTGTAATCGAATTTAATCGACTCAAATTCAGATACAGAATTTTGAATTTGGTACTTCCTGACAGGGATTTAAACAGTAATTGTTAGACGAAATTAAGAACTCAAACTGAAACGCGATTTAATTTGATTCTCTGCATAATTGTTGAGCTTTTTCTACATTAAAAAAAGTATATAAGAAATATTGAACTCCGAAACTATGTACCAATCTCTCGAGAGACAAAAATAATTAATAAACTTTCCACTTATGTAAAGAGTTCTGAAAGTGAAGATGGGCAAACCCACAACTAGCTCCCTGCTGACTACGCTTTTGGCACCTTGCAACCCCAACAGATGCCATTAGATGCAACAAGGATGCACATAGAGCATCGTGTAAGTTTTTGTGTACACCTTCAATTGGGACTTACGTGATCTTTGGTGTCGCACCATTTTCACACAGCAGCCGTTGCAGGTCATGAGGGGGGGCTGATCGCGCGGCAGGGCCGTGTAGTTGAAGGGGTCCTTGCAACGTGCATCCGTCCACGAATCGCACTCGTAGCAGTAGATGGAACGCGCTGCAGTATAAAGCACAAGATATATATTACAATTGGAACCGTGAAGCACTTTTCAAATCGATTTGCCCAAGACTACCCGACTAAGAGTCAGGCAATCGCAAGAACCTACATATATATTTATATAATAAATTGATATGTACAAAAGCAGTTATATACCATACATATATAGCTTATTATATATAGACAAGCATGCAGTTTCTGTAACAAAATGCAGTCAACGTGAATAGCAGAACATTAAAACAAATCAAAGAAGAGTTGCCTAAATTCACATGCTGAATTTGCTTATTTTATTGTGAAATTTCTTGCATTTTGATAGTCTAATTAGTGTTCAGTTTTAGATGGGATTAGGTTGGGTTATACTTCAACTTTGCCAAAAATAATAATAGAATAACTACATAATTGAAGTAGTTTACTCAATTCCTACTTATTGATAACTAAAACAATATTTGTGGCTAACAAAATGAGTCTGATTGAAAATCGGAAACTTGCGGGTGGAAACTGAAGAGTGTATTATAATGAGAGGACTTTCTAAAAGTCTATATATTCTTGTTGAAAGTCACATTCAATGATAATCTGAATTTAATAATGCAGCTCATTAGATTTTCGATTAATATCAAAATAAAGTGTCCAACTTGAAGTGCTTCAAGAAAGTAACTAACTAACTGACTCTAGAGTGCCAAAAATAACGACGTGCAATTGGTAAATTGTCAGAAAAATCATATTTGTTTTTAAGGATATAGAATATAAAATATAGAATTCTGCTTATAATACACATTGAATTGAAAAGGCATACACACACACATACATACACAACATACACACATACAGAGAAACATATAGAAGAGATAAATAGTTGTTGCAAAGTAGAAAAAGAATAAGGATGGCGTCATGAGGTCAAACGATTTGTGGTTGAGCAAGTGGAAGGACATGTGAGTATCCTTTTCGTGCCAGCTGAGGCGAACAGTCAATGAGAAAGATTCTTTTCTATTTTTTTTTTTTTTTTGGTTTTTTGGGGGTCTTCAAATATGCATAGTTTAAGCCAGGGTCGCAAACTGAAACAATAAATATTATTTCTTTCTAATTACTTTTGGTATTTGTTTCCAAATTTGTTCTTTTATTAAGCGATTTGGTTCTGTTTGTTGAAATTTGAAATTGAAATGGAATTTCGGGTTCTGAATTTCAATGGGTTAACTATGCTTAACGGTTTCGGTTTGACGGCCTGGCTTAAACATAAATAATTTGTGCTAAATATGAAATATATTTGCTTGTCAAGAATTGAGTTATGAGTCGGAAGGGCAATCAGCTTTGTTTTGGCATAAATCAAAAGAGAGAATGGGCAGGGCTGAGAGTAAATTTAGTAGGTATATCGAAAAAACATTTATAGTCAAATTGCATTGAGTATTCAGCGAGCCTTTTTGGGAACATAATGCCGATAAAGAAAACGTTCTGGATTGTATATATTTTTGTGTTCGTTCAGTTGAGTTTAGCCAATTAAAAATGTCACAATTAGAATATACATAATACTTATATGCATGACTTTTGTGTTGATTTTTGATTATTTTTTTAAAATAATTTAATTTAGTTCTTTGTTTGGTTTGGTTTTGTTTGGTTTTGGTTTTGGTTTGGTTTTTTCTTGTTTGCAAAAAGGTTATTTTATAAGTATGTATATTTAAGCATTTGTATATAGGCAGAGAGGATCAATGGATTCATACTTTGACATTCGGCTGAGGCTGATGGAATCCATACGAAAGTCAGAAATCCAAATATGGCTGCAAATAAACAATAAAAGGAAGAGCAAAGTAGAACACAGGATGATGATAAATGAAGTTCAACAGTTGCATGAAAATGGTTCTCGGGAAAGGGCAAATAAGACAGACAAACTGGATCTCGACATGAACATCAACAGCCAGCCAATGGAATGGAAACTAATTAGAAATTGGATACTTAAATTAACTTTGAATATATGTTTACTTTGGAATTCTCAACTTGTGGAGTTTCGATCAAATTGAAAGAAGTTAGTTAGGCAAAATGATATTGTTAATTAAGTTAGTTATGTGGAGAAATCTTAGACCTCGTTTAATATATAATCTGTGAGATTGTCATCCATTCCATGGCAGCTGGCTGTGCATGCCGGCAAGGAAAGGACTTAGACAGGACTTATACAAACTCTGGGCGAAGGGGGGTGAAAGGGATGCGCGCCACACACAATTAAAAACACACACAGTTAGGAAAACCTCACCTACGAGCATAATTAGCGAGTGTAGACAGAAAGAGAGGGGGAGAGAGAGAGAGAGAGATAGAGAGAGATAGAGTAATAGTGAGAGAGTGAAAGTGTGAGAGAGAGAGAGAGAGAGAGAGATCAGCTGTCGGAGAATGGGGAATTTTGAACACACACATTTTTATTTTTTTTTTTTTGGTGAAACAGTTACGCTTATAGATTTATATTTATATAGATATATATATATATATAGAGCTATACAGATTGATATTTGATTGTTGATAATGCATTTGTACAGTGTTTCTTTCCGTCACTTTACAACAATGTATGCAAGACATAATGCGAGAACGAGACGACACATTTGTGGCAATCGCACTCTTTAAATGCAGGACATGTGTGTGTGTGTGTGTCTCTGTGTGTGGGTGTGTGTTAGATATTTGGTTGGTTGTTTGGTTGAAATGTGGCCAAATTGTCTAAGGACGACGCTCAGAGTACAGAGCAATCGAAACGTACCAAAAAACTTAACCAAAACTTAACTCTTGTTTCATTTACGAGTATTACGAGTAGTTTGTTTTTTTTACATGGATTGTGGGTGGATTTGTTGTCTTAGCCTTAAATCTGCTCTATGCACCCTTGCAGAGTATCTAAAATTGAATTATAGTTGATTTATATCTATATGTATATATGAACTTGAGCGATCTCTCTTTTTTTCATGATTAATGTCAAATTAATTGCAAATGGAAATGGCTCTTTTTTTGCATTACTTTTTATTATCGATTTAGGTTAGCCAAAAGAATGTAAATATTTGAGACTTGTAGCTGGATACTGAAATCTACTGCAAGGGTGGTTTAAGCTTTGGCTAGCCAGAGAAAATGTATTTTTTTAATATATATTGTTTTTAGTACGAGTACATAACTAAATAATATACACAATTTGTTTAGTACGAACGCAAAAAGTATTCCAAAAAAAATGAAAATCATATGCAAAACGGAAACAGAAACAAACGACGCAAAATTCTGAAACGAAACTAAAACTTACTTGGAAAACAATTATCAGCCGTACCGAATTTTGCCAATGCCAAAATAACTTTTTGTACAATTTATTGTATTTTTTGTTTTGTTTTTGTTTTGTTTTACATAGAGAAAATAAATTGTGAAATCAAATTAATTATGGAAATCAATTGAAATATATTCCAGCTAATTGATAATAACAAATAACCTGTACTCTATGCACTCAATATGCCCTTTACAATGTTTATATATTTATTGTTGTTGTTGCTGTTTATTTTTTATTTTTGTTGCGATTCTTTCTTGTTTGTTTATTAGCATGTCACATCGCACTTCGCTGAGGCTGTCTGTGAATATGGATATATGGCGCATATCTCTATATATATATCGCAAGAAACTGTCCGGCTATTTTTGTACACTTCACACATTCTATATTGGTCCGCGATTAATTGTGAACATACAAATTATGAACTGCCGGTGGCAGTGGCAGCGTTGTACAATTTTTGATAACTAGATGGAAAACAGCTCATAAACAATCTGCGCTGAGTTCTTTGTTTTATTTCGTGGCGATTCGATTGAGCTAATAAAATGCGATGGGGCCCATAAAGCAGCTGCTTTGATTTTGCTTTTGTTACATTAATACACAAATCACACACAAATCATCAAATCAGTTTTTTGTTGGCCTAAACAGCGATTTCTTACCTGCCAAGGTGAGCAGCCCTTTCCCGGCTGCATTTGCTTTAGTCCACATCTTGTCTGGAAGGCTCAATCCGCACTTCTGTAAGAAATGTATATAGTTATATACAAATATACCTATATATTGTATATATATTGTATATATAGCTTACCTCGATTTGATAATGATTCTGCGTGAAAGTTTAAAAGGCCGTTTCGGCATAGAAGCGATGCAACTTCATAACTCCCTGGTTATAACGTCATCTTGCCAACTGCAAACGAGAAGATGTATCTATAATAATATATATAATATTAATAACAATAAATAATTGAGCAATCTCTACTCTTATTGTACCACCAATTAACTGATGAAGCCATTAAGTTCTTGTATTTCGCCAAAGAGTAAACAATTTTTATTCAGTTCCGTATTGTTGATATTAAAAGTAAATTGCTTTTGCCGAGTGTGCCACAAACGAATGGAATACTTAGTATTATATTTGAATTTATTTAAATAAATTTACGTGAAAGCATTTGTTTTGTGTGGGTGATTTAATTAAAAATGTAAAAATAAACACATTTTCCACGAAAATCGAATGAAACGAAAAAGTGATTTTCATCGCATCAAGGTCTAAATAATCTGATGATGATAGACATGTTTTGTGACAATTGAAGAGTTCCATAGAAACATCAAGTTTAGCTTTAAGCGAGTATAAACAAATTAACACTTCAAGAAATATGTTCTAGGCTAAAGTATATTACAGAAAATGCAGTTAGCTGGACACATTTATGAGCCATTAATTTAGTCCAAAAGCCAAAGCGATTATTATCAAATTTCCTCTTCACTTGCCACAACCATGAGCATATATATATGTATATATGTATGTATATGTATATAGTTGATTATGTATGCATATATATCGATGCAGATATGTATTTATGTTTGCATAGCAAACTAATAATAGCCACTCATAACCTCTAATATGTGTTCTAGGTCAATGTGTGAGAGACCCAAGTCAGGGCTGTTGCTGCTGCCACCGATGTCAAATCGAGTGTGTGGCAAATCATTTAAGTCTGTGTGTGTGTGAGTTCAATGAAAGTGTATATATATTTATGCAGTCGATACACATATGTGTCATCTATTTTGACTAGTGGCTTAAGTTAACATCCGATTCTTTTGCAAATTTAAAACTTACTTTGGCAAAGTGTCAACTGACAGATGCGCCAAATCAAATGGCGGAGAAGAGCAAAAGAATGTCGCACATTTGTTTTATTGACAGTTTTTAGGTTAAGGCTTTTTAAGCTTTTAATAGCCACTCGGAATTGTTCTATTGATTCTTGTTGTATCTCATTAAATAGTCGACATCGTTTGATTTATGGGGCAACAAGTGTGTTGTCTGGCTGCAAGCAGAGTGATAAGTGGCAGCCATATGAGATATGTAAGCAAATATTTAGCGAAGCGTATGATTAGCAAAGTGCTTTAATTGTTTAGTGCAGTTAAGTGTTTGTTATTGCCGGTTATTAAGAAAGTCCCACACAGCTGAGTGGGAGAGTGGGAGAGCTAAGAAAAATAGAGCAAAGAGAGGCAATGTAAACAACACACGCACACAACTAACAGTCCGCGCTCTTTCTCTCCCTCTCTCTCGCGCTCTCTTCGCGGCTCTCTTTGTCGCTTGCTCTCACTCTTTCACAGCTAGCGTGGCTGCGTGTTCCTTATGGCTCCCTTTCCCACACGCATCTGCAGCTGAAATGAACTTTTTGCTTTCTGTTTTTTTTTTATTTTTATTTTTATGACATTCTAGATGTGCAGATAAATGAAAGTTTAATTACCTTTTTGCACTAGCCACAGGATTTATATATTAGACACTGATTCAACGCTGGTCGTGTGCCGTTTACACTGTCCTGCAGCCCGTTTCAGAGGTCACGCGCAGGTGTTTGTTTCATAATATGTAAGTAGAAATCGATTTAGCCACCGACCAAAGTGGGCCAACTCAGAACCTAATGCAATTTATGCTCGCATTCATTTTGCCCGTTTTCTTTTGCCGTTGCGGGCGACATTCTCGATTTATTTTATTATTTTATTATATTTTTTTACTACTTTTTTTGTTGTATTTTTTGTATTTTTTTTTTGGTTTACAAGGCTAATTGTTGGCTTTATTTTTTGTTGTTTCGTATTGATTGGTTTTGCTTGTTTGCAGCACACACAACACAACGTTAACTCTAAATAGCATTTATTATTCACTCGATTTGTATATAGATATATGCATATTTAATTTAACAAATTTTCTGCTGCGATTTGTGTGAGCTTCGTTAGTTTAGTTATTTATCATTTTGCTTGTATCATTGGAAATGTCGAGCGACGAACGTGGGAGGTTGTATCTTTTATGCTAACTAAGCAGCCAACACGCAACAACATCAACTGAACTGAGGCAATGCGCCAAACTTTTCATTTTCCTTACGCTTCTCGCGACTTTGGCGCATCTCATTTCTCTGGCTATTTTCGAACACTGTTTGACGTCTATGTGTGTGTGTGTGTGTGCATTCTACTGTTAAGCTTCTGGCGCCAATATTGTGCAGTGTTCTCAAGTGCCGCAAAAAGCTTACGCGATGAGCTTTTCAACGGTTCTCATTCAAATTTCTACCTAAAAAATCCTGCGTAATTTATTTATTTTTGTAAATTTTTATTGTGAACTCATGTGTAGAAGCAGTTGTTTGAGTTTGTGTGTGTGTGTTTGAGTTAAGCACAGCTTATATTTAACAGATATTAGTTTATAAAAATGATTTCGCATAAATAAATACATAAATACATCGTAAATACAAAAAATTAACATGTAATATGCAAAAATTATTCAAGATTATAACGAAACGGAACCAAGACAAGGAAGTTCAATCATCGCATATTCCATTTCAATTCTTGTGAGCATTTGAATTGGACTCGCAGCACTCGAGTTGCCTTGATGTGCGTGTGTGTGTGTGTGTGTGTGATGTGGCTATAATAATCAGCGGATATGAGCAATGTGTTTCTCTCCTGTCTTAGGCAAAGTCGCGAGATCCTTCCAGTTTGCGCAGCTGTGTGAAATGTGAAAGGGAATTGAGACATTTAATGGAATCCATTTTGTTGCTGAATGCATTTTCAATGTGGTATTTACACTGAGTGTTGTCTGTGAGTGCGTATGAGTGAGTGTATGAGTGTGTGTGTATGTGTGTGTGTGTGTGTAGTCTCAATAGAAACTCTTATCGTGCCAGGCCGCAAATGCTCTCACCTCACGTTCGTCGGCATGTGTGCGATATTTCTCAGCGGTTTCGTTGCTCTTCGCTGGCGCCTTAGCCTCCAGCACCTGGGTGTAGAGCAGAGCAGCTGCCACACCGCCCAGCACCGGTCCCACCCAGTACACCCAATGGGCGTTCCAGTTGTCGGTGGCAAAGGCGGTGCCCAGTGTACGAGCCGGATTCATGCTGGCGCCCGTATAGTGAATTGTGCCCAGATGACCCAATGTGACCGACATGCCAATGGCCAGCGGAGCAGTGTATCGCGAGTCCGGTTTGTGGCCATCGCAGGCACCGAACACGGTCAACACCAGCACCAAGCCGAGGAAGAACTCAATGCCCAGTCCCTGGAGCTCACTGATATTTGGGGCCAGATTAGTGTGGCCCAATCCGTTGTGATAGTTCGAGTCCAGCAGGATCTGCAGGGGAGGACAATAATCCAAGAATGAGTTAGCCTAGATAAGAAATTGCATTCTAAAAGTAACATAGACTCAAAATCTATTCAGTCTAGAATGAAACATGTTAAATTGATTGAAATGAAGATAATAACTTAGTTCAAGTTGGTTCATCATAAAAAACAGAGTTTAGATATAAGATTCTTGACTGCTTAAATTGTCAAAGGGTTGATTTATATTTCTGGGCAGAAGAACAAATTCCTTAGTAAGAATCTTCAATAACTGCTGCCAAAGGCAGAGTCTCAAATAAGTCACGTTTTTTCTACTTTTTAGAGATGTGTTTCTAAGGAATATAAAGTATTTCTAAACTCGAACCCAAACTCACCTTGACACATGCTGTGCCGGCAATGGCGCCCAGACACTGGAACACAATGTAGAAGACAGCGCGAAGGACGCTAATCCTGCCAGCTACCAACATGGCAACGGTAACAGCAGGATTAACATGACCTCCACTCAAATGGCCGATGATCTGAAATAAAAATGTGTTGTAAATTCGATTAAAGTTGACAATTGAATGTTAACAACTCCACTCACCGTAATGGCCATGAAGACGCCCAGTCCAAAGGCGAGAGCCTTAAAGGTGCCATCCTCCTGCTGGGTGCAGGCGCCACAGGCGAAAAAGTTCAATATCAAATTGCCAATGAATTCGGCGATGAGCGCCTGCCACAGACGCAAATCCTTCGATTTGAATTCATTGAGGCCCAGCGAGTACTCGTATTTGCCCATCTTCTTCAGGTGACGATCAGCCAGACAATGAGTCCACACACACTGAAAGAAACAAGTGGCACGTACATAAATCCCAGACCATTAATTATGCACTCAAGTTGGATGTGAACAATTGTCAAACATGATTCGTCGTTGTCGTCGTCGTCGGCACAAGTGAACGATGACCGCATTTGAATGCAGCTCTTAATACGGGCATGACTATAAGACGACTCGACCAGTCAGCCAGACCAGACAGAGCCAATGGAATGGTTAATACTTGGACGGTGCCCACACTTTTGTAGTGCGTCAAATTAGAGTCGGCGATGATAGCCACTTCCGTTGGATGACATCGTTGACATGGCACCTAATTGGCCATAGACGATACCATCGCCAAATATAGACAACTACACACTGCAAATTAACTTGGATCGTAGCATTTACATATGGATTGTAATTAAATAAATCATTTGAAACGGCATAAAGAAATTGAAAATAATTAGGCACATTTAAGTTTCGAGAAGCACGATTTCATTTTCAAAATCTATTTCAAAAATCTATCTCCACTTGAAAACATATCCAAATATTCAAAAGCAATTGCTTTTTGTGGTTTCTGTGGTTTGGCCTTCGGATAAATAATGTATTTATATAATAACAGAGCTTCTATTGCGAAAAGTTCCCTTTAGGGACGGCTATGCTTAATTTGAAAATGGAAGCACGATTTTAAATCGATTCATGAACGGTTTTAGCAACAACAAAAAAAGAAGAAGAAAAATGGCATGTGGTCTACACCAATACTGCATTGAAAATTCGAAGCACGATTTGAAGTCGATTCAATTAAGAGTTGTACCTGGAGACGATTTCAAATTGTGCACAGCAACAACTTTGTCAATATTCAAAAATACAAACTTTCGGTGAGTATTTATTATCAGGAACAAGATCTCTCTCGAAAAATCCACTTAGAGTCGTTCAAAATTGTTCACTGAGTTGAAGAAAATTCAACTGCAGTTCAAGAAACTCAACTGCTTTGATTTAATTAGGACTTAAGCTTGCCATAGACTTATAGTCTTAATATATAGGAGATATAATATTTTCTTATCTCAAGACTCTGTTTCGAAGCATTATCAAATTGATTAGCTATAGAGATGGGAAACAAATAATTAAACATTTAATTGCCAAATGAAGTCATAAAATCTGTGTAAATATTAAATAGCAAATATTGGCAAGAGAATAACCGCAAAAGTCAATAAAAAACTTAAGCTGCAGGCTAATTGAACGTGTGCCGCTTGAATCTGGGGATTAGCAACGACTTCTAGTTCTAGTTGGCCAAGGCAATTACTCAGCAGGCTAGCTGGCTGGCTGGCTATGGCCAGAACCACTGTTTACAGCTGTATACATATTTGGCACAACTGTTAGCCAGAACGCAACGCGGTCAAGAGCAGGCAGCCAGCCCAAAAATGGGCTATAAGCAGTTGGCCATGCCCCCTCACACAACATCAACAGATACAAAAACAGCAACAACAACAACAAAAACAACAATAACAACAAATATTCTATCTATTTATTCTAAACTAAAAGGCCTGACATTAATATCAATCAGCCATTATTCAATGTTGAATTTTTAATGAACAACTTTAGACTGGGCTAGTATTTTATGTGTGTTTTTTTCAATAGTTTTTTTTTATTTTTAGTTATCTTATTTTTATTCTATTGTATCATAATACGTGGTGACGTATCTCGAAGAGTAATATATTTAAATATAGCTCAATAAATTTGTTAAATGTGTACACAAATAAAACAAATACAAACAACATCGAATAAATATATTTGAATAAACAACTTAAAGTTGCAAAGCACTTTATTGACAAATTCTAGATATGATAATTGAATCTGGTTTAATACTGATCATGACTGCAGCGTAACCTAGAACTGAACTCATACTTCATCTCATCGATTCCTTGTGATGCATTCGAGTACTGTGCACATAAATCAATATCATGCGAATGATTTCGAGTACTCATTCCATGTCGATATCGAGTTCAATTGTTTGCTGGCGGGTTCTCTTAATAGATAAACGTTCATGGTGACATCTTGTTTATTTGGTGAATTGACAAATATATCTTACTTTAATTGACAGGCCCAATAGCCGCACCTACAACATTCTGGCTTTTTGTTGTGGTTCTACGCATTACAATCGCATTCGTCTATGCTGAGATCATAAAACAGAAAATTTGAATTGATTCTATTCTCGTTATGCTCTGACTCACATTGGAACAGGTTCTGTAATCGCCAATACAATTAAATTTAAATTTTATGTTTTATTGCTGATCGAACTTTAGATGTGAACATAAAATTTAAATAAAATCACAACAAGAATGAACTATGAGCGTTTCTTTGTTGTTTTGATTTATGGTTTCAGATTAACGAATGTCAAGTTCGACGAATTTCAAACTGGTTTCGTTCAAAGACATTTCTCATTTTCACATCGAAACAAATATTATTCATCTAAGTGCAGTTAGTAATGGGTTTTTGATGCATATAATTAGCTTAGTTTATTACATGGAAGTTTATTACACATTTAATTGTTCTCCACCAACATTCCAGTCAAGATATTTTACGGATTTAGCCAACACCTGCCTCAAAGTACAATTAACAATTGAATTTTTGAAGTGGCAATCGTATAATAATAATGACAACAACAATGATAGCGTGTTCCAGTTGTCGTTATAATTATTAATCAGAAGACGCTTATCTGTTAATGATTGGCGTTAACAAATAATGAAATCATACAGACTGATTAAAAACAAGCTATGGGCTATGGCCAAAGAATACCTTTTCGCAAAATTGTAAATCAAAACCATATTCGATTATTTTTGTAATATTCTCGTGTTGGCAATCCGTTCGTGATATTTTCCATAAAATTGGCTATTGTTCGTCTGGTCGAAATGTTTGCTCAACAAATTAGCACAAACGGCTCGAACAAGACACACAAATTAACTGAATTCTTGCACACAATGCAACAAAAGACGCCGCCGCCGCCGCCACGAAATACAGCAACAACAACAACAACAACAACAACAATAAGTAAAACAATAAAAATGCAAAACATAAAGAAATATTTAAACTGCATTCTGACACCTACACAGCTTGATTTCAAATTCACAACAAATTTTCGATTACAAGTTGCGTTTTTTTTAATAATGAAAAAAGTATTCACACATTTCAAATACATGCACGGAACCAGTCATATAAAAGTTCACGAAGTGCTGTTAACTTGAATATCAATTACTCAACAGAAAGTACACTCAAATAATGCCATAAAATGCATTTGTTCATGTATATTTTGAGACGGGGTAATACTTTAATTTTAACATTTGACAAGTCAATGCCTCATAATGATGTCACCTAATGCATATGCTAATAAAAACATCTATCTCAATTCTAGACCATTTTCATTTGTAAATACAAATGTATATTTTTGGTTAGCAAGTTTTTTCTCTTTTAATTGTTTGACATAAAAAGTAAGTACTTTATTTTTAACAAAAAAAGGAATGCGACAAGTGGCCAAGCGTAGGAGTCATTTAAATTACAGAGCTGATCTAATGTCGGTTGACTTTAATCAATTTAGCAGTTCTTTTATATATATATATATATATATATATATATATATATATATATATAAGTGGTATTTTTGAGATTAGCCAGAAAGAGTCCATTTCTGGCGTCTGACGACATGTTTTTGATATTATCGCTAGCATTGCTCTGTATAACAACTGTTGATATCATCATCATCGTCACTTAAATAGAAATAAAACTCACTTAAACTTAAAATGGACATTTGTATGCTTCGCCAGATGTTCTGTACCCTACTCACATTGATATGGAGTCAGAGATTAAAAATACAAGAAAAAAACCATACAAAAAATGAAGGTCAGAGCAAGAGAGTTGGAGCTATAAAGTAATGCTGGCTCAAAGCCACAAAAACTATTCGGATGTATTTTAATTCATTTGTTCATCTAATTGAGACGAAGCCCAGTGATTAGTGGGCCTAATTAGCTACACAACAGAGCTCAACTATGTTATGAATATACAAAATTAAAGGTATAATGTGCTCATATACAAATAAATGTTCGCATCATTTTACGCATCGGCGCGCCTTAAAATAAGAGAAACATATACGTATTTTTCTATATAAATAGTGTAATTTGTGTGTTAACCAAATTTTAATGCTCTGCTAGACATTTTTATTTTATTTTATTAATTCTTTTTTTGGCATCATTTTCTAAGTAAATCATATCTTTCGATCTACATGCATGTAAATATATAAAACATATCATTGCCAAGTGGTTTCCTAGAAACATTTGTTTTATTTTCACATAAAATATTGGACTGTATATTTATTTATTTTTTATTTTATTTTCTTTTATTTTACAACACATGTTTCTTTGGTTGAGATAATCTTGTTGGTTTTGGCGTTTAAAAGAGGAGCAAATTAAAAAAAAGGCAACAAAAGGGAAATTAGAAATATTCCAAAGTACAGTTTCAATCTGCATTTGTATTGGTTTCTTAACTCACATTTCGAAACTGCTTTTTTCTAGCACTTTTGCATATTTACCTTTTTAGTGAAATATATTTGAAGAATATGCTTTACGGCTTTTTGACACCTTTGGTGTATGCAATAAATGCCACCTTTGCAATGATCGTACAACAGTAAAACAGTACACACAGAGTAAACCGAACACTTTAATTATTTTTACTGGAATATATATATATATATATATCTCGCTTCTTCTCACTCTTTCTCCTTCTCCCTCTGAGCGATCAATGTTTGTGATCCGCGCACTTTGACTCAACAACAAACACTGCGCGCCACAAAACCAGCAAAGCTTTGAAGACGGTGAAAAAGAAACAAAAAAAAAGGCAGGCAGGCAGCGCAATGCTTCGCACAGTGGGCTTTTTCCATTAAAAAGCTGGGTAAAATATTTTTATTTATATTTTTGAGTGCAGTTCACAGCTAATAAAAAAATGTTTATTATCATCATTTTTTTGGGCGTGTTTTCTTAGCAGATATATTTCAAAAGTATAAGTGAAAATGTCGGATTGAGTTATGTCTTTAGTCGAAAGAATACTATTTTTGTATCTGAATACATGTATGTAAATATATATTTTGAAAGTATAAGTGAAAATGGCGACATGAGCTATATCTATAGTCGAAAAAATATTATTTTTGTATTCGTAAAGTTGCGGTTTTATTTATTTTGTGCTTATATATAATGTGTGTGTACTTGTGTTTTAGTGTTATCAGTTTTATCTACACGACATAACATATTTTAAATTAGTTTCGGGCTGTTAACTGTGAAGAACCGACTTAAGTCGTCTAAGCTGTAAAAAGATATGATTTGTTCTCTATTGTTGCTGTCAGGCACTGACATTGCGATTAGCATGCCAAAACATTCAGGTGTCTATTGGCGTCAAGTGTTAAGTAATATTATGTAGCCTTATTAGTAATATTATGTAGAATTTTTACTCCTCAACCATTTTTTTTTTTTATAAATTGAAAGCTAACGAACTTATAACTAAACTTATCTTTTGAAGTTTGTAAAGCATTGAGTAAGATATATTTGACTACAAATTCTTGATCAACATCACTAGCCGAGTCGAAACAAACAAATTCCTCAGTTTTAAAGCTTTCTTTTCATTTATTCGTGCTTTTGCTGTAAGCAGAATATATATCCGAATTACTATATCTTTTAGCGATCGGTAGAAAGATGAGTTCTTGTATACAACATTTTTATTCAATTGGATATTCAAGCCAAACTTAATCAAAATAATACTATATAAAATAGATCCCATTGAAAAAACTTGTTCGGTTTTATTAACTTATTGTGAAACTTGTAACTTTTATATGCCTCCTTTCTCAGTTGTAATATTTAAATTAGAGTTTTGTGAACCACAATGCACTGCTCCCATTGCAGCTGATTGCGGTGTTTGTTCAGCTAAATTGCTCATTCCACTGTGCGATGCTAAGTCAGTCGAAGTAATTAGCAAAGAGTTGTAAACGAGCAGTTAAAAGATGAGCAGCAACAAGGCAGGAGAGGCAAGGAGGAGAGCACCGTGAGAGCATTTGTGAGAGATGTGAACGCGTGCCAAGGAGAAGCTGCGTTGCTGTTCGTTCTTGTTGTTGAACGCTGCAATGCCCATCAAAGTGTGAGCTTCACTTGGATATACGCCTAATGATAAGGCAAAAGTGGGGATGGGGTGTGGAGTTAGCGATGATACCATGATCAATGTGTGATACGTCAATTGTGACGCGAGCGTTGCGCAATTACTTCCAATTCGTAAGTAAATAAACATGTGCAATCAGCCATGTACACACGTTCATTCTTTTGTTTTATGATCTGTTTAAATATTTAAGCATTTATTGGTGCAAATACAAAAAATATATATAAAAAAATGTATACAACACCCCAGGGACCCGATTCTCGCGTAACGCTTGCGTAAAGGTTTCCACCGGTCGCTTTTAATTTTGTGCACTTTTCAAGGCGCTTATCATGCCGCAAACGAACACCAAACACAGTTCGAACATTTCTCTGGATTTGATTTTTAATTAATTTACTGCAGCTCGAACTTTTCCACTGTGGCATGCCGTATAATTAGACTCTGATTTGTTTGCTCTGCATTTATATTGTTAAAGTTGTCACTTTCAATTTGCTTTATGGCCCCTCATCAACCATTATGACGATGATCATGTGAGTATGGGTGGGTGTGTTTTGGAAGGCGATCCGATTTCAGACTGTCAAGTCAAGTCCCGTGACATGCGGCTAATTGTTGCCACTGCCTATAGCTGAATTTCAGTTTGGTTCAGTTGCCAGCGAAGTAGTTGGAAAAATGATTGTTTCTCTCAAAATTTAATAAAAATTTTACTGACAAGCGAAATACAGATATAACATAATTCGGTAAATGTCTTTAACTATATCTGTAAGCAATTAGTTAATGAGGATAGGCCATTTTAAACAATCGTTAAAAATTGTAAGTAAAGTAAAGAAAGTTTTTACTGCAAGCAACTGCGATAAGAATTGTAGCATACTTTTATGAGGTGACATAAATTGTAATTGGGTTGCGTCTCGGCTAGGCTGTTATTTTAATTACTTCGAATTGCAAGCCATAAATTCGAAATCTTTATTTCGTTTTGCTCAAACTTAATACTAATTTAGATGCATGTATTGAAATGAAAAAGTCTAATTACATGCTTGAAATATATAAACGTATTTAGGCGAATTTATTTCTATATAAACATGTGACACATGTAGATTTAATTACTGTTCCACAACATTATCAGGTCTTTGTAGAAATTGTACTAAAAATGAGCAAAATTACAGCTTACTCATATAACAAAAAAAAATCGAGAAGTCATGGCGACGATTCAATACTCTTAAAGACAGGAGTCAGTTTGCTACTATGTCAAATTGAGTATAACGAAGACTCAAGAGAAGTCATGTCTGGAGCTAAAGATAATTCTATATGTATTATGTTCCTTGTGATATATGTTGAAATATTTACTTTACTTTATTGTAGCACTACGCATATATCGATATAAAATATTAGAACTTACCTTTGTTCCACACAGAGCTATATGATATAGTGTTGCGATCCGGTCTTATACTTCATGAACATATTTAAATATCCTCTACAAGGGTAACAGCACTCTTGTCCCGTTTCCGCCTCAAGCTGACTTTCATTATTCAAATTTATGAGTCGCAGAAGGGACATTTGACATTTTGACTGGAACAACGCCCAGTTGGAGTGCCAGGACTATTGTTGTCCTTGAACTTAAGAGGCTCAGCATGACAGAGCACTATATTTGCATACAGCTATGAATTGTGGCGAGGATTAGGTAAGCTTTGAAGCTACCTACGACTTGTGACGGGAATAACAAATGCAAAGCCAGATATACAACCCTGGAGGGGGTCAATCAATTAAGCAAATTAAGTTAAGTAAAGTGCGCACTAAAAGTTCTAACTGAAATTACAGTGCGGAAGCTTATTGAAATTTGCATGCAGCTCCGTTTATTTCTGGTTACAGTTCTGGCCAAGTTAGAGATTAACAAATCTGTCGCTTATCAGCCGAAAGCAAACATATTTTCATCAATTGTGCTTTTTTCGTTTAATGTTCCCATGCCCATTACCCATTACCCATTACCCATTCCGATTTCGATGCTAATGGGCTCTTAACAGAAACACGTACGATTTTTTAGCAGCCGTGCCCAAGTTACAAAAAGCAAACACAACCAAAAAAAAACAAAAAAAAGCCGGCAGCCTGCAAAAAGTTAACTAGCAAAAAAGAAGAAAACAAAAATTGAGAAACTTTTCTTGGTATTTGGCTAAGTAAATACGAGTATTTTATACAACAATTAAATAAACAACAAATGGCCAACACAACAGCCAAAAAAACACACACACTTGAGTGTGTCAATCAATTCTCTTCCATTTTTTTCATTCTGCTGGTACTCAAGTGTTAGCGGCAAAAACTTATAAAAAAAAAGCCAAAAGCCAAAACTGAAATTGTTAATTGCCTGAAATTTTAGTTGCGCACGCGTTCGCTGGCAGGAAGTGCCCCAAGACGATGCCTCATCTGTCAGAACTGACCGCTCTTCATACACTGCGAGCAGAGTATAAGTTTTCAAGCATCCCGTACGACAGAGTTTAGACTAGAGTAGCTGCTACAGAGCATATCCTAGTCGAATAATACATGTTCATCTAAAAATAAGTAGTCTCAACCAATTCAAAATATAATTTAACTATGATCGCATATAGAAAGCTAACGCTTCTTTAGTTAATTAGTATACTATACAATTAAGTTCTGAATGGAATAATCTGTTGTTTTTTTAATAAATACTCGATAGACAGATATATTTTTAATTGTATAGCTTGTAAGGCGTCTAATGCGTAGATTGTACGAGTTTCAATAGCCAAGTCGTGACACATATATATATATATAAATATATAGATGTATTTGCATTGTTAAGACTAAAGCAAACGCCCCCATCATTTTTGGGGGTACTTTGGAGAATTTCCCACGATATGCGTGTGTCAAGTTGATATATCATTTAGTCAATAGCTCGACACAACAATTTTGAGCAACAATAATGACAACACTTAATGCTTGAAGTAACAGTTAGTCATAGTCCATGACAAGATCAGCACTGACTGCAACATACAAGCCAAAGCGGTAAAATAAGCATTTGGCCAAAACCAACAAGACGATGAATTTTAGCCGCAAGCAGCGGCCTTATTGAAACACAAGTGTGGGTACACCTCACAAATGTTTGTTGCTCAAAATATATATGCATATAGGTATATAGGCATAAGTATAAGGTACAAATCGTAGCTCTTGTGGGAGAGGGGCAGAGAGACGTCAAAGTACACTCTGAAAAATAAGTGCAGACTTGATAAAAACTTTTTAAATAGATAAAAAATTAATTAAATATTGAAAATAGAAAAATACACGCTGAAAAAAAAGTTGTATTATATTGTGAAGAGCAGACTTGTTATTTGAATTAGAATTGAATTGAAATTATAAATATAAAAATACAAATATGTTTTTTAGTATATGTGCACAAGGATTTAGTTTGTCTATTTCGAATTGAATTAGAATTGAATTAAGATTAAAAATAGTATTTAGACACTCTATTCTTAAAGCCAGACCTGCTATTTATTTTATACATTTATTAAAAATATTCCAAAAATATTTGTAAATTTAGAAATCTTTCTTTTCTTATATTTGTTTCGATTCATGATCATATTTTTGTGCAAGTGTATGACGCTGGTGATTTGGCGTTAGAGGGACAGGCGGGACCCGTATACGGATTCGGATTGAAAGTGACTCAACTCAATTCACGCATTGGGCTCTGGCAAAGAAACAGTTGCCGTACAAAGATTGATGGATGAAGTTGAAGCTGCGCTCTGAAGTGTCAAAGCTGCAGCTCAGCATTGAGACGACGATGCCGACATTGACCTTTATTTGGCTAGGTGTCCATGTCTGTGTGTGTGTGTGTGTGTCCATGTGTGTGTGTGGCTAGAGCACAATTAATGAAGCGCTCATAACTCAGTAAGCAAAACAATTGCACGTGGCACGTTCCTCCAGCCAGACCCACCTGACTTAACCACAAACTGAACCAATTTTCACAAATTTCGATCAAGTTTTTGTCTACAATTTTTGGCAATTTCATGGCTCGATTTGTACTGACTCATGTGCGTTTATTGCCTGGTAATTTTTGGCCAATTCAGTTCAATTCATGATGAACAGCGTCAATAACTGGAATTCATTGGGCCAACAACTACAACAACTACAACTAGCACCACCAACGCTGGCCAATTTCAATCTTAGATATTGTGGTGCTCCAAACATTTCTCGTCTGGAAGCGCGCGCAATTACAGCCATCATTTTGGCCAACAACTTTGGCTTCAATAGCAGTTTCAATGTCACCAACAATAGCTTCGTTCATTGAATGACTATTTGTAAAATTTGGCGGCTTGATTTAGTTTTTGTCTTCTCATTTTTGTTTTGTGCACTTGCAACAATTGACTGAAGAAAATATTAACTAATTTTTGTTTGTCATCTGGCAACTGCACTTGCAGACTTATTCAACTTAACTTTAGCTAGTTAAGATTTAAAAAAATGCAATGCATACTTTGGTTAAGGGATAAACAAAATTACTTCAAAATACTGTGATATTTATCTGTATGACAATGGGGGTTTTTGATATTAGTCCATAGTTTTGCCGATGGTTTCGTCGGCTTATTATTAATATTAATAAATCCCACGAAGTCCCATACTGGTTATCTTGATTTATTGTCTGTACAAATCTGATTTTTTGTGGTAGCTGCAATGAAAATTTATGCAAAATAAAAACAAAAATGGACATCAAATTTGAGAGACATTTTATATCCATTTCTGTTTGTATATTTGGCAGCAAGGAAATTAATTAAATTGCTTGAAAGTTGCGAGTGCTAAATTTGTATCTAAATGTGTATTTGTCAGTCTGCAAAGATTACATCACTGAATTGAGTTTTGCGAGTTTGTTTTCAACTCTTCTTTAGTTTTCTAATCACAAAAGTCATCTAAGCTGCTACAAAGAAGAATTTGTTTTCAACTCAACATTCTTGAACCAAAAGATTGATGAATTCTTTCGAAATGTTGCCATGTTTCCTCGCCCGTAATTGATTCGATACGTTAAATTCTAACACTATACTTACAATTAAAGTCAAGAAGTCTTAAATAAAATAGCTTGAGATGTGGCATCTGTCAGTTTGAAAACATTTGCATGGACATCTAATTGGTTTAATGAGAATGCGAAGCGCATTTTAAACTAGAAACAAAGATCAGACTGTCAAATGTTCGATATAATCTTGGGTAGTATCATCAATTTGAATAATTTCACATCATTTGTGCGAATTTTTAACTGCCTTTGATTTCGCACCGTTTTTATGATCGTACATATAATAAACAGCCAACCTGAATTATTTGTTTTTTGGTTTTTTTGTTTTGTTTTCTTTTTTGCGGAGTAAATAAAACATCTGTCTGGCATACTTATATTGAAAAAAGTGCGCGGTTTTATATATTTTCATCAGTATTTTGTTTTGTTTTGCTTTTCTGTATGATATATATGTGTTTTTGTTTATTCGTCTGTTTTTGTCATTTGTTTTGTCAATAATTTGGAACTGTTGCTCGAGCCTGAAATAAATATGACAAGGTTTCTGTGTGGGTGTTGTTGGATATTTATAAGCACCCTATTAACGGTTTGAATAACTCTAATGGTGCAATGGTAATCAATATTAAAGCCAAACAGGGCCAAGCGAAATTTTTGCGGGAAAAGTGAGTGAAAAATGAAAGGTGATAAGCGGCCATCATGCATAACCCATTAGCGTGGCTGAAAAGAGTTCACTAACTTGGAACCAAATGCTATTAAAATCAGCAATGGAAAGCCCCTTTTCACTATCAGATATTACGAGTACGAGTATTACGAGGTCTTCGTTAGTTTTGCGGCAATATGGCTTACCGTTAATCAGCTGAAAGAATTATGTTCTTCAGACTGATAAGGCCTTTAGCATTGAGTGCCTTAATCAGTTCTGCGCCTATCGATTGGAATTTCTCGAGTGGCAAATTCCAATTTGATGTCTTTAAATAATGTGCAAAAGAAGTGAGAGAGAAAACTCTCGTCAAAATTCAATTGTCAATCGGAATAGAGCAAAATTCGTTTATAAATATTGGGAACTACAAGAATTACGTGAGGATATGAGAAGTGTGGAGATCGTTGGATAGATGCACATGCAGAGCTTCATCTTATTGGCCAATTGGCCAATCAGTCTTGGCTGGCCAACAAAAGAAATAAAGAGAGAGTTGTGAACATTTGTTCCAGTTGCTCTCTCTCTCTCTCGCTCTCTCTCGCGGCGCGTTAAATTAATCAATTAAAAATAAAAAATAATAATGAGTGCTGCTAATAGCTTTTTTTGCATAGAATGACATAAGGAAATACATTTTGTACACAAGTTCACGCTTGACTACGTTCGACTACAAAATTCCTAAACTATAGAAAAACTGATAAAAAAATAAAAAAAAACACACCTCTGCGCTGCAAACTCTGTGGCAGCACATAATTTGTATGTGAACTGTAAAAAAGAATGCCAAAAAAAGAAGAAAAATGGTGCTAATTAAGTCATAAGGGCCAACCAAAAGCAAGTCCTTTAACAAGAAGCCCAAGCGCCAAGCCCAAAAGTCAAAACGGGCCTGCGTTGCAGTCGCAGTCGCTGCTAACATGAACGCAGCCACAGTCGCAGTTGCTGCCGACGTCGCAGTCAGCGTCAGCGTCAGCGTTAGACCGACAGAGAGTATATCAGTTACAGACACAGCGCCAGCAACGTTTATTTGCGCTCGAGCAGCGAACGTGGCCGCAAGCAAAAGCAAAAGCAAAACCAAAAAAAGTAAAAGCAAAATCAGCAACAAATCGAATTGAATTAAATCAAATCGAATTGAATTAAATCGAAGCGAGTCGAGCAAAACATAAACCTGGCCAAAGAAAAGAAAAACAGTCGGTGTCAGAAAGTCTTAAAGATAGTTCAGTTCGTCAAGTGCTCACAAAATTATATTTCATTTATAATTTCGAAACGACTCAAAATTTGTGAAAATTTTGGATAATTGTGCGTTAAAGTTAAGCGCGCTTTCATTTCCCGTTACAAACTCAATTAAACGATCGCGCATCGAGAAAAAAGAGGGAGATACGCGCTGGTAATTAATTGCCGTTAAGTGAAATTGTCAAGACTGTAATTCACAATTTGTGTTGGGCGTTTTGGTTTTGCGCAATAGAAGTCGCTTTTCGCTTTTACAATTTCGAATTCAATTTTAATGGTCAAGAGACTGTTGGCCATTGTGCAATCAACCAACCAAGCAAGCAAGCAGCCAACCTACCAGCCAGCCACTTAACCTTAACAATTATTGTTATTTGGCAATAAGAGATTTTGGCACAATCATTTGATTCAAGTGCGCCCAAATACAACCAAATACAACAAATACCAAAGCGCACTTTTACAACCCAACCACAAACGAAAGCAAGACAACAACAGCAACAACCAACAAGCAACAACCAACAGCAACAACAACAGCAAAAGCAGCAACAACAAAATCGAACCCACGCGTCGCTTAACTCGAGTAGCAGAAACAGCAGCCAAAGAAGCAGCAGCAGAAATAGTGCAAAATGGTTGAGAAAACAGGTGAGTGCAAAAGTTGAAGCAAAAGCGTGGAACGCTGCATGAATGATTTGGGGAAATTTCAAGTGTTTCTCTCTGTGTATGTGTGTGTGTGTGTGTCTGAAGGTTAACGGTAACGAAAGGTGTGCAAAATTGATTCGTGTGTGGAATATGTGATGGAAAATTAAAATTGTAGAAAGCTCCATTAAAAAATACACCTACCTTAACTCAAGCCAAACTCTTTTTTCTCTCTTCATATATTTACAAACTTAATGCAGATGTTTTGTTTAATTTCGCGCAAAATTGCCAAAATAGAATTATACGCTTGCCAACAAGCATGAAGTGAGGCACTTAAATTGTTTGTCAAATTTAATTAATCATCATTTTCAGTTAGCTGTGTTAGTTGTCTGCTTGGACTCGAAAAGCTGCACTTTTTTTAATAAGTTTTTCATTACTTCTTTAAAACATAGCCAAGCCTCAGTTTAATATTTAGTTTTTGATTTTAATTTTTGTATTGTTGGTAGAAGAAAGCTGTTATTTAATGGACTTTCGATTTCAGTATTTCCACAAAAATAAATCAAAAATAATTATGCGAGCATTAGCTTGGCAATTATTTTCAAAATTCTACTATCAGCTAATATATGCAAATTGACATTTGACAAGCAAGCTAAGCTTTTGTAAGTCCTAAGGGGGTTTGATTTTTTTTTACTGATAAATGGGTATCTCAAAACTTATAATATTGGCACAGCCTAATGGAGGAAGGAAGTAAGGTGTCAAAATATTTAAACTAAATGCGTTTTGCATTGTTTAAAAACTGTACAATCATCTTTGTTAATTGAATCGAAAATTGCATTTCTTTTGCATATTTATATTTGATTTTTTTTAATGTGTGTAACTGATGTACTTACAAAGATATATTAACTTAATGTTTATCTTAATTAAACTCACTTAACTAGTCAACATCAGACTACTATTATTTTCACTAGCTGACTTTAAGTTAATAATGATTTTTGCTCACTCGGCAAGTGTATTTCATATTCGGCATGCTTAAAATAGCTGTTCCATATTTTTTTGTTTATCAATAATGAAATGAACGATGCTTTTCAATAATTTCATCGTCACAACATGACAACAAATTTTCGTTTTTATTGTCTTGAGTTGCTTCCGTGCTGCTTTCAACTGTTGAAGTTGATTTCTGAACAGAAAGTATCATGACAAAAGCGTTCCAAAGAGACATTGATAGTTACTCGTAAAGACACACACTCACACACACACATGGTAAACACATACAGCAAAACAAACTCTGGCTATTTAAATAACGATGATGACTTCCTTGACGAAAGCGCTGACTATAAAACCATAATGCCATAAAAACAATCCGACAAACAGTTAAGCAAATTTGCCAACAAAGTGAATGAACTGCGATTTGAAAATACATACAACATAGCATAAATCGTTCAAGAAAATGGTGGCCCGAACCCAATTGGTATTATCCATTTTATTTAATGCTTACGTCAATTGTATTATTTGATAGAATAGCAAACAACATTTATCGTTTACTTATTTTCGTTAATTTTGAAAGCAAACTGGCGTCAAATTCACAGCGATAAGAATTGAAAATAGAGGAAAAATATTTACCGCACTAATTAATTTGCGCTGTGTTTCGAGTCTGAGGCAATTTCCAAGCAACACTATTGAAATTCTTTGCGCTGGCTAATTAATGTTCTCCGACGCGGTTATTGTTTCAACAATTGTCCAAACAAATGGCGCAGCGCGCGAGAAACACAATGCCAATATTGGTTTCAAATATTTGCTGCTCAGCTTGTGCAGTCTGCTTTATGGAGCTGCTAAAAGCCACAACACTCCGCCATAGGCCTTAAACTCAGTCCCCACCAACCTTGACAGTGAACACACAGTCAACAGTGGATGGAATTGATCTTCACAGTTGGCGACGTGTGAAGCTCGCACGGTGAGAGTTCTACAAATAATTGTGGCAATGACCAAAAACATGTTTGAAATTTCTCTTCTACACTTGAAGAAATGTGTGCTCTACAACTTGGATTCTGCTCACAAAAGAAATACTAAACACGGTTCGTTGAATCTTGTTAAAAGTGGGAGAGTTATTAGAGTGAAAAATTGCAAACATTAATATTTTGGAACTACCAAAAAATATATGTTTCTGTTTAAAATTCTTTAGCATGTATTTTTTGCTAAGTGTAGCTTCGAACAATTTTCAATGGCAACATCCGGAGTCTTGGCCGTCTCATCACTCAGACTTGGCCAACATCGTGAAGTTGTAAGCATAAGTCGCAAATGTCGCTGTCGAAGTCGGAACTGTAGACGATGCCGTTGATTCTAAATTGCGTAGTGGCAGATACAATTATGGTTCACACTAAATACGTGAGCAGAGATAATCGTGCGAGCAATTGGCAGTTGACAGTTAACAGTTAACAATCATGTCGACACGGTCAAATCTGTTACTCCCACGGTAGTGCAAAAAACACAAAAAAAATCATGCTAAAATGATTAAGTTGAGATGGGAGACTCGACTAGCAGATACCTCAAATTTAATTGCTTAACTATCCAAAGTCGTAAAATGAAATAAACTTGATCTGCGTGTGGTAAACAAGAAGTTGTATTCCAGGTTTAAAGTGTCTAAATGAGAGATCGATACGGATAAGTCAGACAGATCCTATTCAAAAATATATTTTTATTTTATGGGGGGAAAAGCATCCCATTTTTTTCTGTCTGTTGCACAATGTGCACATAACTCATTATAATTTTGTTTTAAATCAATTTTCTATGGTTTCAAAATATCTCAAGTAGCAAATGCAAATTGAAAAGATAATGCACAGTTGCCACTGGCTGCCTCTGATAGGCGCCAGTGCTCTGTGGGGGGATCGGTTAGGGAGCTGCACAACGGGATATCGAACATGTTATTAATGAACGCGGCTTATAATTAATTTAATAATTTGTCATATGGATTGATCAATGCGACTTCCACAACTAACATCGTTTTCCCATGGAAAGTTTTTTTTTTTGTTTGTTGTTTTCGTGACTGAGACTTAATTAAGGCAAACTCATTATTTTCAAAGTTATGGCTTCAGGTAATGAGAATATGAAAATTATTTTAAACAAATTTCCATGCGATTAGCAATTAAAGAGAGCTCAATTAGATCTCACAATAATGAGTTTTGTTTGAATAACATTTTTTTAAGCACCACTTTAAAACTTGACTAATGGTGAGTGTGAAAAATTACAATGGGATATTATTAATAATTGATTTGATATGGATATCATTATAAAGTTATAGCTTTAATTAACAAAAAAAAAGAAACATGGCTCTACTGACTCATCCAGTTCTGTGGAGTCCCCCAGAATGAGTGAGAATCTATGCTGATTTATTTGGTTGGGCAAGCGGGTCTGCTTAAAAGCATAAATTAGCAGGTCATTAAACACACCTCCCGCATACACACACACACACACATACCTATTTGAGTACCCAAAAAAAAAAACAACAAAAAAACAAAATAAGCACGAGCTGGCTAATTAATGAATTTATAACTAAATTGATGGCTAAGCAAAGTTTTGTTTGACTAGTAATTTTTTGCTCAAAACATACCTGTTTTAACTATGAAAAATTGCGGTTTGCTTGTTATTTGTATTGTTATTTATTTTTAATAAAATCATCACCTTTGTGGCGGCAAGTGCGGAGAAAGAGTTCGAAATGAATAATCGGATTAGTTTGATTAATTATCGTGGAACGAGTGGAAAACACGCGCCCTTTGTTTTCACTTTATGCTACCTTTTTTTTGTTGCTGTCTGAATCGCAATGAGCCAAAGGCAAGACTCAAAAACAATAAGCAGACAGCAAAGAGCCGAAAAATAAATGGTTAATAAAACATTAACCAAACATATGTGAGCGACTATAAATTATCAAGTTATGCGATTTTTGCGTGTTTACGACTCATAAATGATTCGCTCGTTCTGTGAACTGAAAGTTTGAATAGAATTTACCATAATGAAGTCAGCGCAAGGATCGCGAAAAGGAGAACGAGGCGAAGCAGTTGCTACTGATGACATTACTCATACGCAGCGTTGTGCGCTCATAGCCAAGAATAGGCAGTCAAGCCCAAGCCCCAAATGAATCGTGTATTCTGATTTCTTACAGGATTCGGGTGTGGCTAACACACACACACACATACAGGTCACCAGCCAAGCCTTTGACTTGACTCCCATTTGAGGTGTGTGTCTGTCTATCCGTCAAACTGACACGTGTGCTCCATGTGCCGCACCCCTCACCTTCGCCTTTGCCTTCGCCCTCGCCTTGACTTAACGCTTGGAATAAAATATAACCTAGAATCTGCAAAATTATATTTTATTTTAATTTTTTATGGCATATTTTGTATAAGTTCAAAATACTTTCTAAAATGCAGAAATATAATTTTTTACCAATATTATTTATATAATAAATGTTTTACTTTTAAAAAGAAATTTACTACAAATGAATATGACATTTTCAGCTAAACTTAGAAATCACATCTGAAATGGAGTCAGTTCAAATTCTAACTGCATTTTTCGATTTTTTTCTAAGTGTAGCTGTGACTGTGACTGGGTCTGTGGTTCAAGGCTGACACTGCGACTGCACCTTGTCGTTGCTACAAGCAACATCCTTTTGGCAGACCTTCAACGAGCACAGGAAGTGGGTCCAAGGTACTTGCAACGGAAGTGTTCGACCAGAACTGCAACTGCAGCGACCATAAATTAGTTGGCCTTTTTCTTTTTCTTCTTCTTTTTGTTTCTTTTTTGTATATTTTTTGGGCAACTCGCGTGCCTGGAGAGCCCGGAAATGGGAGTTGCCAGTCATGCGAGATTAAATCTACTTGTAGTCATTATTGAATTGCGTCACTCGAACTCATCTGAATGCCACATAAAGTAAATAACTCTTTGCGTTCAATGTGGTCTTGTCATTGGCCTTGTTATCTTATCAGTCCAGTCCCAGTCTGTCAATGCTCATAAATTGC